ATAGCCTTCCTCCAAGCCTATTCTTCAGCATCATCATCAGAACTGTGCCTCACACACCCTCACTCTTTCTTTCTCTCTCTCTCTCTCTCTCTCTCTCTTTCCATGTGAGGGTGTGTCTATATATGTCTCTGTATGCAACAGCAACATTTCTGATTCCACCTGTTTTTTCACTGTTCCCAGCATAAGCAGCAAATGCAGGTGAGTAGGAGACTCAATACTTTAACATGTTTAAGGGCTTCAATCTTTGTTTGCATGAGGAATCAGGGAGAGATGCTTTGCATGGCTTAAATTTTATGGCTATATTACTGTTTTGTTTTTTTTGTAAAGATTAGTGGGTGTAACAGCAGACTGTATTTCTCATTAACTCATGTAGTATGAAGGTAGTGAGGTTTACTGAATTACAGGGATTTGTTCCCATCTACAGATTGTTGGGTGGAATATGGAACAGTAGTATTGTTTCACTGAAGGAGTCTGAGAAAGGGGTCAAGTTGGCTGAATTACTTTGTATAGTTGTAAAGTTGTTTTCATCTATTTGGATTTGAGTCAGGAGTGTTTGTATTGTGTTATGAATGTAATTTAAATAAAACTGAAGATATGATTTTAATGCACATGAATCAATGTTCAAGTCAGTTTGTTTTTTGAAGGTTTGAACATTTGCGTGTTGCAGCACCATTATGAATCTTTACATGTTACTTTTTCATAGGCTTATGTTTAACCTTAAGTCAGTGTTGATATTTGTACATTTACATTTATGGCAATTTTGATCAATTTTTTACACAGGTAGGCGAAGTTAGCGTTAGGAGTCTTGCCCAAGGACTCTTATTTGTATAGTGTAGGGTGCTTACCGAGGCTGGGGACTGAACCCCAGTGTACAGCATAGAAGGCAGAGGTGTTACCCACTACACTATACCAACCATTTCTATATGGATCATGCAGTAGTTGTTTGTTTGAAACCCCTGTAATCTCATGCTTTTTATCTACTGGAAAAAATAGGACAAAACAAGCTGCATTGTCACATTTGATGTTTGACGTAACTTCTCTCTCCCTTTTCTCCTCTCCTCTAAAGTATGCGCCCATCTAGCACCATGTCCTTCGAACCGGGACTGGACCGTGGAGTGCCATGGGGTCGCGACCTTTTTACATTTGTAACATCAGCAGCTGGTCACATGATGCGGACGTTACAAAAGCCACGCAAGAACAAGCCGTCCAAACGGCAAGTCAACCACCGCAGGTTTCTCCACAACATGATCCAAAGGTATATCAGAGAAAGAGAGAGTTAAAAGGGCTCCATTCTGTTGTAAACATGCCTCCTAAAGTAGTTTCCAAGTAGCCTCTATTGGGAGATTTTCTGGTTTAAAGACTAGGAACCGCCCCTTCTGATGATGCATATAGAAGATGGTAGAAACTGGGAATGGGAAAAACTACATGCACTTTGCTGTTCGGAAAAAAAATCCCATTAGATGGCGAATGCAGAAGGAAGCCGAATATAACATCTGTATTTTTTAGCCTCATCAGGATTTCTTTGTTACTGTGGGGAGGGGCATACAATGTATTTGTGTAATGGGCATGGGTAAAGTGCACTGAAAAAAAAGTTGTTAAATTTACATATTTCATTCATGTGGAGTCAGCGTACACATTTGGATCAAGTAAATTTAAAGCAACTATTGATGGAAGAAAACAAAAATGACAAAATCATGAATTCTGTCAAATCAACGAGGCTGTGGGATGAAATGCTGCTCTACAGAATGCTAATATCATGACAACTAACATATTAAATGCTAGTTTTAAGCTGGAATGGCTAAAAGTTTACCAGAATGTTTTGCTCATCAGCATGTCTGTTTGCTTTTAGGAAATTTGCAGAAATAGAGGCAGCCAATCAACAGCTGGCCTCAGCTCTTTTTTCAGCAGACACCTCCCAGAGCCAGTCAGAAATGAAGTCGTCTCACAAAAATGAAGTAAAAAACCTGAAAAAGGGTAAAAGACTTGACATGTTTACACATTTAGGGTGAATGTCAGTTTCAGTTCCTTAGTATTTCTTAGAGTAGTTTACAGTTTCAAGATTAGCTTTGCTGTAAATTGTAGACGTCACCTCGGTTCTTGGTTGTTAACCACTTTTGCCACCTTTGTTTCTTCGCAGCCACTGCTGACTCTTGTGAAACTGAAACACTTGCAAAACAACAGGATGAGGGTAATGACTGCAGGACATTAAACACTCATGTGGTTAACTCTGAAACAAGCTTCTTAAAGAGCAAGGCTCTGAATCATCCGAAGAGTGGAGAAGGCAGTCAGACTTGGGATAGTGTGGAGCAGTTTGAACACAACCAAGAGAACTCACCACAAACCACTGACTTCAGCTGTGAAAGAGAACAAATTCAGTCCACAACTGCTGAATTGGACAACTTGGCTCAAGTTACCAACATCATTCTAGAGGAAAGCGTGTTTTCTTGGCTTGAAAGTACTGAAAGGAGAAGACAGAATTCGGATGTAGACACACATAGATCCCCTGACGCAGAACAACAGTATTTGGGGATAGCGTTGTTTGATATATCACCTACTTCAGCAGCAGTGTCTCCCTTCTCTTTGGATTCATGTGATTTTGAAGAACAAATGCACCCAGATGGTGACCACAGCTCTGAAATGCAACACATCACAGAGAATTTCCAGATGGATGTGATGGAGAATCTTGAACTGTTAGATTCTATGGAAGGATATCTACAGAGCCATCATGGCGATCAAAGGAACTTAGCTAGTGTTTGGCACATGCAAAGTGAAGAGGATCAAAGCTATTTTCCAGATGACCTTACATTTTTTAACACCTCACATGAAGGCTGTGTAATGGATAACCAAACAGACTGTGCTGGTGGGCCAGGACTGGAGGTTGGGCCACAGGTCACCATGCTCCAGGAAAGTTCTGTAAAGGCACTTAATGTGGAGCATAACTTAATAGGTACTGTTGCTTGCAGTCTAGCACCCTGTGGATCTAGTTGCCATCAGAATCAAACAAGATATGCTGCTAGACAAACAGAACTGACAAAGGACAGCTATCAAAGTCAGTCTGAACCAGACATTAATGCAACAATAAGCAAAGAGGGTCAGTTTTCAGCCAGTGGGAGTTGGAACAAGTTTGAAAAAAACTCAAATGACTTCGAACAGAGTAACTTTTCAGACCCTTCCATTGATGACCAAGTCTTACAAAGTCTTGAGCATGGTCACCCAAACCAGGCCCTAACTAAACACTGGGACCAACATCATGTGCTAACAGGCGTAGAAAAGAACATTATTCAGACAGAAACTACTCTCTGTCCAAATTCAGTCTATGACAGTCCTCCAGGGCCCGTCGTCTCATCCACTGCACAATACTATGGCTTTGGCATGCCAGCACTAGCCAATAATGATTGCAGAGGAGAGTCTTGTTCATATTCAAATGGTGATGAAGATGGCAGTATTCCCAGTTTTGAGGGTGTGGCTCAGTCATTTCCTGCCCCTGCACACAAATTATACCCACAGCCAGTTTCAACTCCTCCTCTTAATGAGGATTGGCTATTCAGCAACATAGTAGCAGAGGTGGACTTTACTGGTATGGTGAGATCAGCAGAGTGTACCTACTGTTAAATGAGCCATGCAAAACCTACAGTTTTGTGTGTGATTTCTTACCGTTAAGTAAACATAACAGATTTAACTAACATGAGCCAAGTACCCTGATTTTGGACAAGCACAGCAGATGCATGACCTGGTGATTGTGGGACAGGGCAGGTCAATTTTACTAAAAAGGTAGGGGGTACTATAAAACCTATTAAGGGGTAAACTCTAGGAGCTCTATAGCATCTAGAATGCTTAAGTACAATGTTGCCTGAAAAAAATGGTGTATCAAGTATTACTTTCATACATTGGTAAGCTGTACAAAATATTCGTTGCCTTTGGACAAAAAAAACTTGCAACTCATTTTTTCTTTTTTTTTCCATGTCATTTGACATACATCAACTGCCCTTTACATTGTGTGACTATTTTACAATGACAACTACAAAGGGTACAACTAACGATTAAAAGATCTTTTTTTACATTTAAAGTTAATAGGATTTTTTTTTCTTTTTCCAGTCAATCTGTCATTTCAGACATTTTGTTCTATGGGTGATGATATAAAACAACAAATGGACAAAAGCTAAGCTGTTCTAAGATGTAAATGTGAATGTTCTAGTCCATAGGCACTGAAAGCAAATAGTGAAGTGACTATTGATACTGGTTGATTAGTATGCAATAGACTTTACCTTGTAAATAAGCTATGAATCACTTTAAAATGATATATTTTACTGTGTATATGTATTGTGTCTTTAATGAAATTACATGAACTGAAGAATAGTAGGAGTTTTACAAGGGTTTGTGATCATTTCTGTGAAATGTTCTTGTCTCTACATCATGTTGACTGTTTTAAATTTAAAAAATATGAATAAACCATCAAGAGAATATAAGTGCATGTGAATACTTTGCTGTGTTAGAGCCCTAATAAGGAACCACTGCAACTGTTGTTCAGTACTGCAACAGAGCCATTTCAACAGCAACACACCCCCTAAAACATAAAAAATGTCTGCTTGCAACGGCAAATACTTTAATTACAATTTGCTAAGCACGTTTTATGAGGAGGTGTGGATTCATTACTAATATTGTTATACCAAAATAACATTGTTAATATTGTTCAGTTTTGCTACTGTGGATTAAATAAAGTAGAAGAATAGCCATCTTCAGTTTATTCAGATCAATTAAAGTTTTCATTTTGGAGTTTATTTGGATGGCAGGCTTTTCTTGGCAGATCTGTTTTTTTATTAAGTGTTGTAGCAGTGGCCAATTTACATGAAACTAAATAAAGACTAGAATATCTGTCTGTGTACATGTTTAAAAGACAGAATCACAGAACCACACGTATTTCAAAACCAATGACATACAGTATATTAAAATTCACTCCAGTCAGACTTTATCCATAAAGCCAAATTAACAAACAGAAAAGCAACAATAGTTAAAAAGGCAAAAAAAGACAAAAACCCTTATATTCTAGACACCACCAGTCTTGCCATCAATAAATACAAGAGGCATTCTTCATTCTCTCTGTCCATCACTAATCTTATCACACATTCAATACTTTACAGTCAAAGAGCAGCTTAGATGAAACCACCTGTCTCTTTTGACTGAAGTCTAGAGTTATAAAACAACATAAAACAAATATTAAAAACGATTTGTGCAAAACGAGAGCCATACATTTAATTCACTGGAAATTTGAAATCAGTAGTGTTTTTTGTATTAAAATTACTTAAGTACAGGAGAATGTTACATGTAGCCCTCCATAAATCCAATTTCTTAAAATTGAAGAATATTTTCAAAGCATATTAATCATGAGTGCAGTTTCTCCTTTTAATTGTAATCGGAATGGGCAAAAATGTTATTATATCAGAATAAAGTTTAAAAATCCCTTGTACAAAACAAACAAGAGAATAGTGTTTTAGCACATGGCTAATGTATACCAATATTTAATCATGAGAGTAATATCAGTCAAAATATTCTCCCATATTACTGGAGACAATGTATCTTATACAGTGTCAGCTGAGAATAATTGCCAGTTTGGGTACTGAACAATAAATAATGCTGGTAAACAAGGCCAAGCCTAATTCACCAGCCTTCAGAGCACCAGTGGATCTAAGGAACTTTGTTATTGCACAAAGAAGTAGCATTAGCAAATAACACAAAGCAGGTAGTCAAAGAAGCAAACCTTACCAGATCTAATTTCCTACAGCATATGTCTAATGAACTGAAGGTGCGAGATTGTAGTGATTTTTTTGGTCCTAATTCAAAAACTACCACTTTCTGATTTTGATCAGTGCCTGACCATTAAGGTACCTTTCAGTACATTTCACAAGTATAGTCTGTAAAACAGTACAGTGTCATTCTTTCTATATTACCTGGGACTCTGTTAAGGAAAGACGTAATGAGAAATGTCTAAAATGGAACTAGCAACATAGATAAAATACAAGAAAAGAGCAGCTTTTTTATTTGAGGTGAATAGAATAGAGATGTCATTAAGGGAAAGGCCTTATTTTAGCCTGAAAACACAGGAATGAATTCATCAAACCTCATAAAGGAACACATTCATTAGAGGAGTTTTACAGACGGTTCTGTGTGGTTTACTGCAATTGTGGTTACATTAAACCGCATAGAAATAATCAGTAAAAACAATTCATAAGGCTCTCTTAACCAAGGAAAAACTTCAACCCTCCTTTTAACCAATCAGCTACAACAGATTCTATCCTACTGTGATCTAAAGCTCACTAGCTCATCATGTGTGCAAAAACAGCTAGGATGAAGGGGAATTCTGGGAAAGTTCTGGGTGTTGGCTGGGAAGATGTGTTGAAATTATGTACAGCATCACTACAAGCCTAAACTACAGGGTTGTACTACTATCTACTGTGGAACTGCCTTAGTTGATATCCCTTTGTTCATCCATTCGCCATAGATTTGGTAAAACATAAAAGCTTTGTTCCATGAGTATTTTACACAGACAGAGTAAAAAAGAAACATCTTAAATGTAATTTAGATCGATACAAAGTCAGTGATGTGCTTCCAACAATGAGATCGCTTAGTGACATGATATAACCATACCGTTTAGCTCTGTAACAAGACTAAAAAATCTCTCTTTGACAGATGAGCCACAGCACACCAGTCTGTCTCCTCTCTGAGTTGTTCATTGTCTTGGCCATTACTATTAGTGTAATATGTTTTTTAACACATGACTCTCACTTTTCTAGAATTCTAGTTTCACTGTGTCTTTAGAGAAATTGTACATATAGTGTTCTTCCTCATGATATCAGTAACGTGTCTTGGCCCTTTGTTAAACTGCAAAGTATAGGCAACAACCATGACATATTCTTATAAGACAAGAAAATAATTCAAAATACAAATAAATAACATGAATAATGAGAATATTTTAGCTTGATAAGCACTACAATTAAGGTGTCTGAAACTGGTAGTGAAATGAAAAGATGTAAGAAGAAGAAATCCTCACTGTCTAACTATTCACAGTCTACGTAACAAATGAACTTGCCTTAGAATGAACCACTGATCTAAAAGGGCAGGGGCAGTATCTAAGGTACCCTGGATGTAACAGGAAATTGAACAAGGCCCAGCTTCCCCAAAATGTTGCATCTTACCTATGATGATAACTGTCTACTGTTACTTGATATTAGCAGTTTGGGAAACACTTGACTGATCCTATAATGACCTTGCACAATGTTTTTGGGGATCTCACCCCACAAAAGATATCACTAATGAGCCAGTGTGAAATACCACTGAATTATTACTGTTATGTACATGAAAAGCAAATATTTTCAACTTCTTATTTATTTATCTTCTAATGTATCATTTTTGTATTTTTTGTCCTACAAGTTTAGGTTTTTCTTTTTTTTTACTTATTTTTCTGTTGGCTTGCAAATTCTGCCCTACCGTCTTATTTTCCCTCTGTTTATGCCAAAAGTGTAAAAGCTGGCTCATATTGGCAGATTTATCACAGTAGATCATTTTTTTCTCTCTCACTTTCTAGTTGATGTTCAAAATGTGTAAAATTGGTGATACCAAACCATGTTAAAAAATTCATTTGACACTGCTACCCCTAAATATTCAAAGACAAATACTCTGAAAAAGGTTAAATTCCTTCAAATTTTCAATTCCCAATTGCTGAAATCATTTTCACCTAAAGTGAGAGAGAGAAAGCCTTCTGAGATTAATACTGATCAGCAGCTGAATCATTCATGCAAGCACAGCTAACTCGCTGAAGAACGTCTAACCATGATTTTCTACCTGATTGCCATCATAAACATGCAGACTGCCCTTAAACACATGGCTTATGATTGATTGAAAGAGCGCTTAGGGTTGATGCAGCCATCTTAACTTTGCCACATTAAGCCTGATATACATTGCACTGATATGTGGCTGTTCTAATATACATTAATGGTATTTCCCTCAGAATATTGGAAAAAGTAGTTTCTTTTCCACTTCAGGAAATCAACTCTTGTCCTTTTTCAATATCTCAATATAGGACTGATTTCAATAGTGCTGTTTGTGTACCAGCATTATTTGCATTATATCTCCAGCTGATATACATTTTCATTTAGTTATTTCAGTCTTGGCTGCAGAGGTATACTCAGTGTGGGTTTTCTGACTGCAGTGCTGTGTTAGGTAACTGATTAGTCCTATCCCTTTCTCCGTCCTCCGCCTGGTCGCCCAGCGTTCTCTTTATTAGTTACTCAGTGTCCGCCAGGCTGTAGGGGGGAGGTGGCCCCAGGGCGTTGTCAGAGGGCACAGGGGTGCCTGGAAGGCCGCTCGAGGGAGTAGGGGAGGCGGGAGGCTCCTCAGAGTCAGAGTTCTCCTGAGAGAGGTCATCCACTAAAGCCCTCCGACCTCCACGTACTGAGAGAGGAAGAGGAGCACGCCTGAGAGAGACAGACAGATAGAGAGTGTCAGATAAGAATATACATTGATACTGTACAGTACTGTAAAAAAGCTCACCCATCATTTATTGGTCATTAAGTACAAATTACTTTTCAAGAGTTACTTTTGTGGAGATTCATTTTAAAATAATCCACTTGTCTATAAAAAGCAAAAGTAAAAGGACTGAAAGTTTCCAGAACTGGAGTTAAAACTGGTGGTAGACCACCAAAACTGTCACCATCAGATAAGCAGTACTTAAAGCTTTTTTTTTTTAAAGGGAGATAATCAAGCTCCACTCTTGCTTCAGATCTGAAAAAGTCCATTCTTCCACTGTGAGAGGACAACTCAACACTGTGAGTCTGAAAGGATGTGTAGCTGTCAAAAAGCTGTTACTGAGAAACGGAAATAGACAAAAAATTGCAAATGAAATAAAGTAGCTGCCTGTGTTCTAGTCCAGACCTCTACTTCTATGAATTTCTAAGACTGAAGTTGGGAGGTGTGGAAAAATATCTCCGCAGAGTAAAGGGTGGGGACACTAAATACTGCAAAAAATATATTACATTTAGCTGTCCAGGCTTCTGTTTAATTTTCTGTTAGAATATATGGGTTTTATTGTATCTTGTATGGTTTTTGATTCTGATTTTTTTTTCTGATGCTGAAAAATGAATAACTTGTACTTAATTAAATTAATGAAGGGTGGTGTCTAACATTTGCTTAATGTATTATGTGCTCACAAGAGAAGAGCAGAGAAGACCAGGAAATAAAGAAAATGTTTTGAACTTCTTTAAGAACAAGTGAACACAGTTAATTTACAATGAAAGTTAATGTTAATGAAAACACTCACAAACTCTGATCTTACAAACATGGACACAGACACAAGCACACAGTGAAAACCTACTTGTCGGCTCTGGGTCGATCTGTGCAGCTGAGTGGGTGTAGGAGACAATTAAAAACGCACACACGGACACACACATGCAAATACGTTAGATATGGATGGAAAAATGAACCATGCATACACAAACCAAAACACAGTGGAGCAAGTAAATGAATCAATGCGAATGACTCAAAACAAATAATTAGTGTCAAGTTATACTGCAGTACTGACAGTCTTCAGCACCCGCACCTATGCTTTCATGCTGTCTCACTTCTCTCATGCCATCACACAGACTTACACTTCCACTCTTACCTGAGTTGGGAGCGCAGAGCGTTTAGTTCGCGGGTCATGCTCTGCATGCTGTCGCCCATTTCCTCAAGCTCACGCTGTAGTTTCCTGCGCTGGGCGTTTGTGCGCGAGTTCTCTTCCTCCACCTCCTCCAGCTGCCTCTTCAGCTGCCGCAGACGCCCCATCGACTTGTCCAGCTGTAGAAAAAGGCAATGCAAAATGAAAAACTGACCTAGACATCTTTTAAGCTCCAAAAAAACGACAATATATAAAACACAATGATTGTTGCATATAGCATAGTGTGCAATCCAGCCTCTTATAATATTTGAAAAAATTCAATCAATCACATTTAACAGGGACATGAACGAATATCAAATGTATGGTGGTAGAACTGTAATACTTTGTATTGCTACCTATTCCCTGTTGACTGTCTACATCTTTGTTTTAATTGTACACGTTTTTTGAGTCTTTATGAGTTGATGACAATGATGTAATGGACAGAGGAGGCATACCTGCTCTCTGTACTGGTCTGCGTGCCTCCTCTCATCCTCCACCTGCAACACCACCTCCTTCAGTTTCTTCTCTGTTTTCCGCACCAGTTTATTGGCCATTGCACGTTCCCTTAGAGACAGAAGTATTAGAGATATTTTCTTGATTGCATGTCAAGGCAAGGTAAAATATAGGAGTTGTGGCTTAATGTCTAACTAAACTAAACTCCTCAAGTACCCTAGAGCTTAAACAGAGAAAAAAGGTGAAGTACGTGGATGAAAAAAATGATAATGGTAAAACCTAATTTCAAATAAGTGTTATTCTTGTGATTAAGCCATGTGCTGTTTTTCGCAAAATCAATATGACTATTGGCTTTATCACACCAGGTCTTACATGAAGTTGCTCTTCATAAGCTATTCCATACGTACTGTCTCTCTTGTTCCAGCTGCTCCTCCATGGCTTCGATTTTGGACTCCAGGGCAGCAACACTTAGTCGGTGTTTTCCCCTGACAGCTCCTTCTAGCTCAGTTAGCCTTGTCTTCAATTCCTTGTTCTGCCTCTCGAGGCTCTCCCTTGCCCCCTCGCTCTTCTGAGCCAACGTCCTCTCCCCGGCCAGTTGCACAGTCAGAGTCTCCACCTGTTACAGGAGGAGAGATACAGAGAGAAAGTGAAGGCGATTTATACCAGAAACACATTTTGCATATGCTACAGTTAAGTGTACCTTAACTCTGGATTTCATGCCTTAGTATGGAGGCCTTCTTAGTCACTTGTGCTACTGGCTCATTTTAAACTGTAATTTTATTAAGCTGTTGCATTAAGCTTAATGATTAAGTATAAATCATTGTTCTGGAGATGTTTACCTGCAGTGTGGTCTTCCTCTGCCTCTCAGCCAACATCTCAGCATTGCTCTGTTCCTCTTCCAGCTCCTCCTCCAGCTGACTGATCCTGGCCTCCAGACGCCTCTTTTCATCACATAGAGCTGACCTGTGAGAGAAAGAGAGGTGTTACACACAGCAACACACACAGGCACACATTTATAAATACACAACACACACAGGCACATTCTTACTTCCCGCTGTTGGTGTTAAGAATTTCTTCAGCCATCTCATCTCGCTCCTGCTGAGCCTGCCTTCTCGACCTCTCTGAAACAGCCAGCTCCTGAGAGACAGAAAGAGAGGCAATCCACCACATGCTTATGACTTACTGCACACAGGATGATTATTTATATATTATATATACATATATATATATATATATATATATATACATTTGTGTAACAAACCTCTGTCAGCTGCAGTAGTTCTGCTTCCAGAGTCTGCAGGCGCTTCTCGCTGTCCTTTGATTGGGCAACGACTTCATCTCGAGCCATCTTGGTCTCGTCCAACTCTCGCAACACCTCCTTCATCTGAGCCTGAGTGAATAGGCAAGAAAGCACTCTAGCATGATCACAAACATCCTGCTTATAGATCTATGGTAATGTTTAAGAATCAGACACATATCATTGCAAATACAGAACTGGCGCTACTTGGGCTATTTGAAATACTACTTGGGCAACTTTCTTGCCTGTGTTGTGATAGTTTTGATATAAGCTTTCAATTTAAGATGGGGCCAGCTTCTCTTACATTTAAATTTACTTAAACCACTTAAACTTGTCCTGACCTGGGACCAGGCCTGCCATGCCATGTTTGCATCCTATATTAACTTAAAAGGATTCTTTGTTACCTGGAGTCGTTTCAGCTGCCTGAGTGCCTCCTCTCTGCCACGTGTGGCTGCTTCCACCTGAGACTCTGCCTCCTGGAGTTCCACCTCCATCTGCTTCTTGACGGAGAGTGCTTGAGCTCTTTGAGTCTTCTCTTCTTCTAACAGAGCTTCCAGCTCACGCACCTACAGAGAGTAAGAAAGAGAGAAACAGAGACACAGAATGAGAATTTGTTGCAGAATCTTTTCCAGCTCTTTTTGGGTGGAATATTGTTTACATTCAATTCTCATATTATAAGAATTCTTTTTGTAATCTCTTGTGATAATCTCTTGAGTTTATATACAAGTTTGGTCTGACAGATTTTTTTTGAGTGCAGCACAACCAAGAAAACTCAAGGTAAAAGCAGAATAGTTTCTGTATAAGCTTGATACAACTCCAATGGGTCAACAGTATCATTTCCCTGTTTGCTTCCCAATCGTTACATTTTCCCTAATCACACAATAAAACCAATTCTAGAAACTCACTGATCAAAAAGTTCATGTACCCAAAGAAGGGCTATTTCATTCTTTTAAGCACAATACAGAAATACAAAACCAGTCTGTCCACTACGTTAAAAGCAGGGTACCTGTTTGTTGAGGGCCCTCCTCTTTTCCTCTCCTTTTTCCTCCTTTGCGCTTATTTCACGCTCAAACTGGGCACGGAGTGCCTGCAGCGTGACCTCCAGTCTGAGCCGCGAGTTTTCAGCCTCACCCAGCTCCTCCTCCAGCTCCTGTGTCTGCTCCCGCAGAGACTGCACCTCCACTTCCAGAGCCCTCCGAGAACGTTCCAACTCATGCACCTGAGAGTCACAGAGTCATGCACTCCTTAAACTATAGGCACATTATTCAGTTATTAATGTTAAGACTTCAGTAATTACTATAAATTCTTCAGTTACTGAGTATTGTACAGTACTAGGTGTTAGTGAGTACTGATTCAGTGGAAAGCGATTCGTACGTTTTTTCCCACATCGTCTTGAGCATTGACAAGCTGCTCCATGTCGAGGCGAAGCTGCTTATTGGTTCTCTCCAGCTCGTCACGCTGCTCAGATGCTTCTTGTAACTCTCTAGACAGTGCAAGGAAGCGAGTCTCCTTCTCACGGCTCTCAGCCTCCGCTCGGTCACGCTCTTCAGCCAGCCGGGCACTCACTGCCTTCTCCTCCGCCAGGCACTGCACAGGTCACAGATGATGAAAAGTCAGAGATGCAGCAAAGCAGATTATGATGGTTGAAATGTCATTGGTGGCCACTGCCTGTTGCAGTCACAGTACTGATTCTGTCATGGAGGAAAGCTGCCAAGCTTATTTCAGTGTTTTTAATGAGTTACTAAAAAAAGATGATCAAAATTATACAGTTCACCTAAAAGAGATTATCTTCATTTTTTTTATCTTCATTTTTTCCATTAACTCCTTCATTCATTCATTCATTCATTCATTCATTCATCCATCTATCCATTCTACTGTTCCAGTTCTCCATCTCTTACCTGATCAAATTTCTTCTGTCTCTTCTCTAGAGTGGTGCAGTTCTGCCTCTCCCTCTGCAAGGCGATGGTCATGTCCTCTATCTCCTCTCTCAGACGCTCCTTCTGTCGTTCCACTCGCTCTTTCTCCTCCTCTTTGGCTCTCTCTCTTTGCGTGGCATTTTCCAGCTCCCTTTGCAGCTTCCTCCTGCTCTCCTCTCCTGCTTCCACTGCTGCATTCACTTCTTCAGACTGCCTCTTTAGGTCGGCAAGCTGAGCACAATAAGAATAAGCATAGCATAAAGAATTAGTTACATTAAATACTCAGAAAACAGACAATTAAGTGATAAACCTGGTTTAAGGACATGTATTTGCAAATGTTTGTGTGCACGTGTGTAAATACAAACCTGTTGTGTGTAAGTTTGGATCTGGCGTGTGAGCTCCCTGGTCTTTTCCTGCTCCTCCTCCAGCCTCTCCATCAGAGCTGCTTTCTCCTCCTCCAGAGCCCGAACACGGGAGCCCAGCGCCAGCTTCTGACGTGTCTCATCCTGCAGGAGCTCCTGCAACACCACACACACTCTCATCAGAACCAGAGCTGGTGCAAAGATCAGCTTTATTCTTTACCAGACCAATTAATGTCTTTAGACATTAGCTGATGTTCAAAATGACACAGTTTAGGAAGTGTTCCCTTTAATATTCAGGATACAAAATTCATTCTAAGCTGCCTTTTTCAGAATCAGGCTTAGCTTGCACTAAGATTAACGTGCACCCACAAGCATAATTACCTGCGCATCATGTAGCTGACTCTCCAGGCTGCTGACCTCTTTGCTCAAACGAAGAGATTTGGTGTCAGATGAGGACAGAGAACTGGATAGAGACTCTATCTCTAACTAAAAGAAGGATATGGAGAGAGACTGTAAGAAATATGTCGAGTCAACATCAAAATAATCTCAAAATAACCTCCAATTTCAGGCAATACAATTTCACTTGCAAACATATAAAAGGGCCCACAGGGCAAAAAAATCTAACTGTCTTTCCTTTTTTTTAATGAGAATTTGATGTACACATTCATATATATCCACTTATTTAGCCTACTGCAGTTCAGCTCCGCTCCTTCACACTGAAGTGTTTCAGTCCAGGTTATCTATGCAGTAATAAAGGGCCTTTTTGTTGATAGACAATCAACGGGAGCCATGAAAACCATTGTATCCAATTTTGCTAACCATTGCAGTGCTCAAGCTGTCCAGTACAGAAACAAAACTCAAGACAATGTAAATATATTTTGATCCACTGTTTTCACCAGTCATTTGTCAATCGTTCCACTCATCTGTTTCTTCCGCACCTGAAGTTTATGAAGCCTATCCTCCCTCTCCTCCCTCTCTCTCTCAGCCTGGGCTAGGCGGGCAGTCAGTTCTTGGAGCTGTCCTTCCGCTCTCTTTCTGCCTCTCTCACTCTCCATCTTTCCCCCCTGCAGGGCCTTCAGCTCAGCCGTCAGGTTCACACGTTCCTCCTCCAGCATGGCCTTCGCTTTCTCCAGAGACTGACGAGACTGAGAATACACCAATATACTTAACCATACATGCATGAATGTAAACACACATATGTGCACACAACCTCTAAAAAAAAAAACACACATTACTTTGTTAAATAACACCATTAAAACACTCAGTCACAGAACTGAGAACAAAAGACTTACTCTCTTAGCATTGTCTAGTTGCTCCTGTAGGGACTCAATAGCAGCACTGTGCTTCACTCGGAGCTCCGAGAGCTGGGCTTCATGGCGCCGAGTGTCTTCCTCAACCAGTCTCTGGAGCTCTCCCAGCTCAGCCTCACGCCGAGACCTACACACAGGTAAACAGACTACAAATGAGCTGTCCACACTATCATGTAAGTTGATAATGAAACAAGAGCAGTTAGCTAAATTCTTGTTATAACTTATTATAACTGTTGCCAGTGAATGTTTTCACTTTTCGAACTCTGGAGCTATTCTGATTGCAGTTAATGTTATGAGTGAAAGAGAGAGCGAGAGCAAGAAAGCATGTGAGAGAGGGAGAGCATTAGAGACAAAATGTGTGAGAGAGCAATACCTGAGCTCTTGCTGGGCAGCTGTGGTGTCCAGTGTGTCCTCTAGTTCAGTTCTGAGGGCTTCTAACTCCTCACCAAGATCCCTCCTCTGCTTCTCTGCCCTCTCTCTCATCCCTCGTTCATTCTCTACCTCTTCCTTCAGCTCAGATACCTGAGACATGGCTTCCCTCAGAGCCCGCTGGGCCTCCGCACGTCGAGCGCCTTCCTCCTCCATCCTGATGTACACACACACAACACTGTCACTGATGAAGCTTGGGTGGTACTGCCCGCTGCCTGCATGAGCTCTGTGTATGTCTTTATTAGGGCTGTCACAGTGAAATAATCAATTAAATTCAATTACTCTATAAAACAAACATTGATTAAAATAAACTTGCTTGATAACTTTAATATTCTCTGCAGTGATTACTTGGCAGTTTGTATGATAATAATGCATATTTTTAATTCTCTGAATGATCTCTCTTAATAAGAAACAGAGACTGATAGACACCCATTTATAGATTTTTTTTTGCCACATAATGTTTCTGTACATACATACACACACACACACACACACACACACACATATATATATATATATAGTTACTCATCAGAATAATTATCAGACTCCTATTATAATCAATAGTGGCAGTCCTGGTCTGTAAGTGTATTTGTGTTCATCTGTCTGTACCGTGTCTGTAGTGTAGTGATCTCTTTCTCTCTGTTGGACAAGGTGCTGCGGAGCTCTGTGACAAGCAGACCCAAATCAGTTAGCTGCTCCTGGGCCTCTGCTGCTTCACTCTCCATGCGCCTCTTCCATTTCTCCTGCTCCAGACGGCCCTGTTCCTCTCGCTTCAGACGCTCTGGGGAAAGAAAAGGGGTAATAAAAGGTTTTATGAAGTCTGTTTTACATCACTGATGATGCTACAGTTCACATAATGTTATTACAATACTGGCAGAGCTGTGAATTAATATTAATAAACAGTGGCTGTTACCTTCCAGGTCAGCAATGACAGCTTCCTGTTTGTTCTTGAGCTTGTTGAGGCTCTTCACTTTCTCCTCTTCCTCAGTCAGCTGGTCTGTCACCTCATTCAACCTGTCCTCCAACTGCTTCTTCTCCTGAGACGTGGAAGAAAAAGAGAGGTTATAATGACAGTCATTAAATACAATAGATAAAAACTAGAGATTTAGAGAACTAGAGAATTAGATCTAATCTCAAGTTTAGGATTAAATCGAGTGCAGCTAGAACTCTGTAAATGGCCTTGTCCAAGTTAGTTTTTAGCATTGCTGTGAGGCAACTGTATTAAATAAAAAAGCATGCTACTGGTAGAATATAGAGATTATGCAACTGTGCAAGCTTAACTGAAGGCCCAGGTCAGCAATAGGTTCACATTAAAGTAGCTGAATTCACTAATTAGAAGGACCTGTACTGTTTGGATACTTAGTGGACTTATGGACATAGAGTGTGTTTTGGTAGGGTCAGTTTATGCCCAACACAGAGTGTAGCTGCTTTAAAGTCAGATGGCTCTCTAAATTTTGCTATCAAGTGTCTATAGTAAAGGGCAGTATTTCTGTTTTGGGCTGTCAGACCTTGCTCAGTCTGTCTCTCTGCTCTCCTGCAGTCAGGGTTTCCGTCTCCAGACTCTTCACTTTGGTTTCCAGGGTAACCTTCTCCAGCAGGAGCCTCTGCCGCGCCCCCTCTTCCTCCTCCAATTGCTCTTCTAAATCCTGAGAAAGAGAGAGAGACAGACAGAGAGATTTAAAGAACATGACATGGGCAGTTCAAGGTTTATACAGGCAGAACACAGAAGTTCACTCACTTGTACATGCTGCTGCATTCGCTTCTTCTCATTGGCTAACTGTACACCCCTCTCTTCTTCTTCCTCCAATCGGCCCTCAAGCTCCCCCAGCACCTCCTCCAGCTCCTGCTTGCGACTGGCTAACCGTGCTCTCATCTCCTCCGCTTCAGCAAATAACTCAGCCTCTGCCTGTAGCTGGTCTGTAAGTACAGCCTTCTCTTCCAGCAGCTGAAAGATGTCAGGTAGATAAGAGTACAGCGATAAGAAAACTAGAGTTAGTACACTGGCTACATTCTATTTGTTAACTAAGTTAGCAGTTTCAAATATTGATTTTAACCACAGAACTGCTGAGATAATTTTTTTTTGACTTAATTTTTTATTTTGTTTTGTAATGATACACATTCACATAAACAAAATGCAAAGGAGGCGGCAAAAAAAAAAAAATCAAAGTACATGAGGTCTTATTTAAAGTCGGAGGTTAACAGGCACAGCATTTCAAACATAAAACTCAACATCAATCTCTGTTCAGAATTGAATGACACCTCCACATTAAAACCCAAGATCTTAGAAATAAATCTCCCCATATTAATCCAAAAGGATTGAATTTTTGGGCAACACCATACTACATGCGCATGGTCTACGTCCATCGCCCTGCACTCCCTCCAGCAGGGGAAATAGGCCCCAGTTAACCTTAGAACTGCTACGATAATTGAGCGAGAGAGACAGACAGAATGGAAAAGTGAGGGATTAGTGTACCTGTTGATGTTTTCTCTCCAGTTCAGTATACTCATGCTCCACTTTGCTCAGCTTGTCTTTGGCTTTCTGAAGCTCCGCCTCTCGAGCTTGAATTTCCTCATCCTGGCGGGTCACCTGGAGCAGCGGCTTCACCTAGGGACAAGGATCAAGGGTGAAAGGGTCAACTGATTCTTAACGCCAGGGGACTCAATTAAAATTAATCTTAATCAACAATATCCAATAAAGCCCATTTCCTATTTACTCTGCAGGAGAATCCAAATTTATGTGCATTTCATTGCAATATGAGGCTGCACTGACATGGTGGAAGTGTTTGTTACCTTGGTGAAGAGCCTCCACCACTGCCAGTTGCGTAGCTTCAGGTAAGCAGCACAGTTTCTCTGCATAACCCGCAGTGCGCTTAGCTGCTGCTGCTTCTTCAGAAATGCCCTACAGCCAAATGCATCATATAATTATTACATTATTTCATCTCTGCTTAAAGACAAGCTTTATTTGTCTGAACATGCTGCTTCTTTATTGAATATAACAACATAGCAATATTACTCATTGTTATTATTGTTAATATTATTACTAGTATCTTCTAATCTTACAAATCTTCTTCAGACTAAAAATCCTCAAGAGACCACTCAAATGAGAGCCTTATGTTTAAGTGGTGGCATCCTGAGCTACACCTATCAAGAACTGTTAGGAGTTCCTGTACAAACACAAATGCACACACCTCCTGGCGAGATATCCGCGGGCAGCACTTTGGAAGTGAATGATGGTGTCTGTGATCTTCAAGTCTCTCTCCTCTTCCAAGTGTGCCAACACTCCAGCGCGGAAAAACACTTTACTCTGCCCCACCCGAAACAGGTTCCGATCCAGCTCCAGAGCATTGATCTGAGAACAGTTATGTAGCCCTTTCTCTTATTACAACTGTCCAGCACTTAATCAGTATCACATCACATTCACTTCATAGCCTTTAACACTCAGTAGCAATATAAGCTATGACAGCATATGCTTAAAGTATAAGCTATAAAAATGAAACACAAAAAACAATAAAAAACGTGTCCAATTTTCTATATTGTTTGACTGTTGTTTGACAATTGTAAAAACAAACTGTAAAAAATGGTTTGTCTTCCTATGGTAACAACAAATGTAACTTCTCTATTCAGCTCAAATAAAAACCTTGAAGGAAATTAGGCAAAGGTTTAATTTAGATGAACAAAATCAATATTTTACATAAGTTCAAACCTCAAAAAAAGTTTAAATCATCTGCCTTGGTCTACTTTTTCACAGTGTACACAATCATTATTATAAATGATAAAATATATTACATTAACCCAATTATTGCTAAACATAAGCAGACAGACGGACTATAAATAAGTAGAATAAAAATGATGCTTATATAAGATATTTTATTGATGTTGAAATAAGGTACACATTAGAATCCAGTAAATTCAGTGCATTACTTTTTTCAGTGCCATCGTTTCTTTATTTCAGATAAAGGATTTAAATGCTGGCACTCACCATGAGCTCACAGGCCTGCTTCCCATCCATGAAGGTGCGAGGTATGGCATTTGGGGTCAGAATCTCATACCTGAGAGACAACATCAAGCGGAGACAAAAGGAGACAAAAGGACAAAGAATGATGAGATAAAGAACCCCCTACAAGCAGTGTGAGAAAAGTGAAAAACACCTCCCTCTCTGAACTCCAACATTGGTGGAGGAAAATCACTGAATAAAGAAAGAGAGAGAGCGAGGATGTTTGTGTGTAGAACAGAATATGTGATGAAAGGAGAATCTGGCCAGGTGGTTCTGATGGCTATGTCAGCGCTTACACATACAGGCCAAAAAAGAGACACACACACACACAAACACACACACACATGCTCACACCTTTGTCTGAACTCCTGGAAGGGGATGCGGTTGGGGAAACCCTGCCTGCAGATTCTGATTCCCTCTAGAACTCCATTACACCTTAGCTGATCCAAAACCAAATGAGGAGTCAACTTCCCGGCCTAAAAGAGAGGGAGAGAATTAAGGGTTTTAACATTACAAGTGTGATACCTGAAGGGGTTTCAATCACGAATCTAAATGTGTATGAAACTTTGAATATATAATATTTTTGTTAATTATACAATTTTACAACAGAATTGTGATCACACTGATTACTGTAGTATTATTTTGAAGGTCTCTCTCACCCTCTTCTCATGGTTGGGGATGATGCAACGCAGGAAGTTGGGGTTGGTGTTCCGTAGTGTGGCCATCAGTTTGGTCAATGACTCTTTGTACAGCTGTCCAACTGTCCGGAACATTCCTTTTTTTGTCTTCAGCCCTGCTGCTCCAAACGTCACTGGTCCGCTGCCCTCAGCCAGCCCACCAGACGCCACTTGGTCTAATCCCACAATCCTCTCCACTGAAGAACACAAACAACAAATGGATGCGTAATAAGATAGTAAATCAAAATGCTTATGTAGTACCAAAGCAATGCACTGTTGTCGGAAGAAAACCTTGTATCTCCAAAATGATAACTTTACAGGAGAAGAAAAAAACCTACAGTACTTTTAATGTAAGTCAATGGAACCAGACTTTTTTCCAAGTCATTCTGGGCCGTTTCTTTTGATCTACTCATCATGAAATTTACACACAATGTAAAGGGTCACATGCATTTTCACATTATGCTAAAAACTGAAAAATGACAATAAAAAAGATACCAAGGTTTTTTCCGACAGCAGCGAATGGTTAAAGATGGTCTTCTGGTAGGGCAAAACACGCGAACTCAGCATCATGTTTTAAAGTTGCACTTTGTTTTAGGCATTTGGGGATTTGGAGACCTCTCTGGTGGAAATGTGTATTTACACAATGTGCTTACATAGTGCAGCTTTAAACATGCTCATTTATGCCATTCATATTTAAAAGAGCATGGGCCTTATGGTAACAAGCCAAACCGGCATGCACAATTTTCAGCAATATATCACAAAACATAAAGTATGTTTACAATAGCGCTGTTGCAAAATACACTGTATGTCCAAAAATATCCAGACACCTCTTCAAAATAGTGAATTCAGCTACTTTAAGATGCACCCACTGGTGACATAAATGTGCAAATGTGCGCACAGCTTGTGTAATATGTATAGAATAGCACTGTCAGCAGAATGGGGCGCTCTGGTGTTCATCACCATGCACAGTGCCAAGCGTTGGTTAGAGGGGTATAAAGCCTCCCAGGGTTGTACTGTAGAGCAGTGGAACTGTGTTCACTGAAGCACCGTCAAAGACTTTTGGGATGAGTTGGAGAGGAGTTTGTGATCAAGAACCAATCACCCAACGTCAGCATCTAACCTCAATAATGCTATTGTAGCAGAATGCAATTAAAACTCACAGCAACATCCATCTAGTGTAAAGCCTTCACAGAAAAGTAGAGGCTGTTGATGCAACAGAGGAGGGACAAACTCCCTATTAATCCTCTTCATTTGGACCCTTGGATGATCAGGTGTCTACAAACTTTTGGGCACAGAGTGTACCAGATGCTGGTACCATGCATGTTCAGTGAGCACCAGTAAACGATAAATCATCAGTAAATTTATCTAGTATGACAATACCAAACCCTTCGTGAACAAGCAGTGAGATAAAACTAACAACCGTTGATGTGTGATGAAATCAATCTGCTTGCTCAAAAAATCTGCTTAGTGTTGCTAAAGGCAATATATTTATTAAATTAACTCATATATAAACCTTCTGGGCCTTGCGTCATTCATATATTCTGCCTGATTATGTTCCTACATAAAAAAAAGACAAATTCCCCCCTGCAGAACAGTTTCCATCTCGGAACACAGTAACCCCACAAATGATTGGATGGATTTATCAAATTAACAGCTATAGTTTTGGTGCATGGTGCCAACATCATTTATAACGTTGATACACAATCCTCATTCTACTACTACTGACACACAAGAAACACAAGAACATGATAAAAGACAATATTAAGCAAAAATTAGTATCACAAAACAAGCTACATCTACAAAACTACACAGCTACTGAAGCAGTGACTATAACTAGTGCAAATACTACAGATATTCATATTCATTAATAATGAGCACTACTACTGAGCTACTGCAGCATACACACAGCACAGTCACTTTATAGAAGAGAAAATCCTGGAATCAGAGTAGTTAATAGTAAAGAATAAAAATAATACAGAGAAAAAAGGAGTAAGGAAAAATATGTGAAACACACACATATGTGGACACACAATATGTACAAGAGAGTGAGATAGGAGTGATGCAGAATCAGAGGATTGGAGAGAATTCAGAAGCAAGGGAAGGTAATGCTGTGGAACAGATGAGTGGGAGGATAAACCTACTGCTGTCAGAGCCATTGGTCTGCAGTGTGGCATAGGAGTCAAAAAAGTAGACACGAGGAAGAGTCTGAATATCTGAGTAAGGGAAAGACACAGGGAAGAGAAGAGAAGAGAAGAGAAGAGAATGGGAGGGAAAGTTGAAGGGTAACAGTGAGAGGTAGACAAATAAGTGTGAGTTTAGAGTTTAAGAGGCAGAGAGAAAAAGAAAGTCACAGAAAAAAAGGAAGTGAGAAATATGTTAGTACATTATAATGATAAAATAATTTCAACGTTTTTTAGTGAGAATAATCATGGAAACATTAGTTATGCAGATTATGTGCAAATCCATCTCATTTCATGTTTACTTGTAACTGACATTGAGAAATAGTACTCCTGGCCGTTTGTCACGATCTTTAGATCACAGTAAAATTTGCTGAATAATTCCATGTTTCCTCACCCTCTCTCCAGAGCTCTGATATGAAATGGTCAGATGACTGGTGTAAAAGAGATGCTACATTATCATTCAGAGGATCCATGTTCTTCACCAACCACTCATCTGCCTTATAATCCACCTGAGAGAATAAAAGACAGAAAGATGTAAAGAGGGAGAGAGAGAGAGAGAGAGAGAGAGAGAGAGAGAGAGAGAGAGAGAGAGGAGAGAGAGAGAGAGAGAGAGAGAGAGAGAGAGAGAGAATATAAGCCTGAATCCAGTTCATTCTTTAAAGAACAGAGAGAGATGGACTGAAAGAGAAATAATATCACTAAACCTTCCCAGCGTAATGTATGATGGAGAAATCAGCCTCTTCACGGAGCTGCCGTGGCCGGTAGAATTTGGGATGGGTGCCTTGCTCAGCAGACAGTTTGTCCACAAATGATCGATCTGTTGCCCGTGGAAACCAACACTCTTCATCCAACAGTGCCAACACACCAGGGGGATGCGCCTGTGAAACCAACCAACCATCAGTAACAGAGTATAGAACCCATTAACCCTGTCAAACCTGATGTCTCTTTGGTGATATACTAAGAGACTTTGGCTTGTTAAAATCTGCCCCTGGAGTGATTATAATGCATGCATTTTCACATTGGACATTGTAAAATGGATCAGCATATGTAATTGGAGCTGTGCTGCCGTGTTTTTTTGTAACACTATATAAAAGAAGCATGACAGCGTCATTATGATTGTAAGCACTGTGAAAGTTTCTAAGCAAGCACGCACTCACAATCAGAATACACACATTCTGAACATAATTCACATAGCCAGGGATCTATTACTGATTTGTTTTGTCTGCGAAACAATACAAGGTGACTGAAATGTGAAATAAATTCATGTTCACATGTTTGTTTTTTTACAGAACGGCTGGTTGTGGCACAAACAAAATTAATATAAATTCTAAATTTCTGCTCTTGTCATATCATGTTCATTACATCTCAAAAAATTGTGACAACAGCACTAGGACATCACGCTGTTAAAGGAGAATAGTAAATCAAAATCAAAGTAGCTGCTTTTTTGCATACGCACTGAAGGATTCATTTAGGCAGACACTACTGATAATAAAGCATATATTACCAGTCCCTAATTACAAACAGAACAGAATGTGAATTATCTCTAAATGGACTGATGCATGTCAACAAAATCATAATGATGGTTTGCAGTGTAGCAGCAGGTCCTCCATAGAGTCACATACACACAAACACACTGACCGGTCTCTCGATGAGGTCAATGCAGGGCTGCAGGTCCAGGCCAAAGTCGATGAAGTTCCACTCAATGCCCTCACGCTGGTACTCCTCTTGCTCCAGCACAAACATGGTGTGGTTAAAAAGCTGCTGCAGCTTTTCATTAGTGTAGTTTATACACAACTGCTCAAAGGAGTTCAGCTGTAAAGAAAAGTAGGAAGCGGAATATCAGAAAAGGGAAGACAGAAGACTATGCAATTTAAGCAGCATGAAATTTCTAATGCGCGAATGGGATAAGCATCTTCAGCAAAGGTGTCTCCACCTCTCTATTAGTCTTACTTGGAATATCTCAAAGCCGGCGATGTCCAGGATGCCGATGAAGGAAGCTCCTTGCCTCTGTCTGCGGTCCAGTGCTCGATTGATGCGGTGCACAAGCCAGCGGAACAGGCGCTCATAGGTGGCCTTTGCCAGAGCCTCCACTGCGAAGTCTGCCTAAACACACCCAACCACATATCCAGAAATAAATCCCTCTCTACATAACTTGATTAAGACTTTTATGACACTGAATTCTATTATTATTTTCTACAAAACAGACACTCTTTTGACAATCATTGAATAACTATTGCAAACCTGCACACACACATACCTGCTCCTTGGTCTGGGCTTTCTGCACATACTCGCGGCCCACTTTGATGCGAGGAGTGAGTATGGCTCGACTGAACTCCAGCACATTGATGCCCAGCAGGTGGCAGAGTTTCTGTGCAGCTGTGTCATCAGGCATAGAGGCCTGGTCTGAATTCTTCTCCTTCTGAAAGGAAATGTTCCCAAACTGCAGCACAGCAGAGATCACCTTCAACATGGCTGAAAGTGAAAGCGAAAAAGAGAATGAGAGCGGGAGAGAGAGAGAGAGAGAATGGGAAAAAGTTTGGACTCTTGTGATTTATTCCATTAAAATATGACAAGACACAGATAAAACAAGACATAGATAAATTCTAAGCTCAGTTACCAGAGCACAGCAGTACAGTTATGACTTTTACTCTGTAAAGAACTAAAATGCAACAATGCATCATTTTCTGCTTTGGTCCAGAGCAAGGGAACCAAACTACAGATATAAACACACAATAACAGTGGTGTAGCAGGTTAAGGCCTGTTGCCTGTTGTTGCAATTGTGACTTAAAATTTCCAGCTTATCAAACCCAGAAAGCATCATGGTATTGTATTTTGCCAAATTTCCCACTCCAAGCCCACAGCGTTTGAAATCTGCACAGCTGAAATGGCATTTTACAGCATTATCTCTCTCTCTTTTACTTACATGTGGACTCCTCTTGAGTGAAACCCATGATACTCATGGAGTCCATTGTCTGAGTGAAGTTCTCTGCATCACTCTGACCTGGAACAGGAACTGAACCCCCACATAGAAAGCGGTACTGATCTGCACTGCCCAGGAGCAGCTCGGCTGGAGTGAAAAAAAAATCATCTTTCATTATAGAGACAAAAATCTGAAGTGTATTGGAAGTGTGCAAATGTTTGCATATGTGTGCAGGCTTTTTAACTTTTCACCTTTCATGGCCTCAGAGGCTCCACAGAGTAACTGGTAGAAGACATGGAAGGTTCTCTCATCTTTGGCCTGACGGATGGCTCGAGACTTCTCTAACAGGTCTGACAAAGACATCAGTTAAGGACACATACACAGCAAACAGAGCTGTGCCAAGATTTGGGACAAAATGCAATAGAATAGAGGAAAAAGGTCAAACTGAATAAAGATTAGACAGAACAGATGTGTGCTGCATCAGTACTGTTCAGAGACTGATATGATTAAAGGATACAGGTCTCAATGTTGGCACCGACTATATAGCCGGTCACATCAAAATTGATACGGATAAATTTGCCCTGAAACACAGGTCAAATCATGTTTAGTATTTTGCACATTTTTAAACAAGTAACTGAGAGAGAAAAAGAGAAGAAAAAGAACCTTACAAATCTGGAGGAGTTGTCATTTTTGACGGTCTTTGCATTGCCAAAGGCCTCTAGGATAGGGTTGGCCTGCAGAAGCTGTCTCTCTAGCTCCCCCTACAGGACACAGACAGCAATGCCTCAGAGTAGGAACGGCACTAACCACTGTGCACACAGCCTTGCCCCAGCACTGTGAGATGCTGCAAAGCTCCAGCAACTACATGGAATTTTTTATAAAGGAAATAAGCAGCAGGGAGCAGCCAGCTATTTCTTTTACTGCACATTTGAGTAAAGTCAATAATCAGCAACTTTTTTCCTAATGACACCCATTACTTCAGTGTCTAGAACAGTGGTCACCAACCTTCCTCCTGAAGATCCACCTTCCTGCAGGTTTCACCTCCAACCGAAATGTAACACACCACATTCAGAATGACTTCTGAAGGCAACAATCAAATGGAGCTAGGGTTAATTAAGGCTGGAGCTAAAGTCCGCGTGGATGGCAGATCTTCAGTAGCAGAATTGGTGACCACTGGTCTAGAACAAGGGTGGAAAACACTAGTCCCTGAATTTGTGTGTTTCTACTTAAAATGGTAAATCTATTTAAAATAGGCATAAAATTGTGGCAGTTGACTTCTAGAAAGATGAATGGCGCAGCTCATGCAGACTTCATATTGCACACCACTAAGAGTGGCCAAGGATGGGCATGGATTACTAACTGCCACAGCCAAGCTCTCAAAGAACTACACTGTCCCCACAGGCACAGCACACAGCCAAATTACTACTATTCCCAAACTCTTAAGTCAGGCCATACTCACATACTGCACACTCTGTTAGAGCACAGGAACAAAGGAAAAAGAAGGAGGGACGGAGGGATGGACAAATGAGTGCAGGGGAGACACAGGGGAAAAACATAACATAAAAGCATTAAAATAAGTGCAAACACAAAACGTGTGCTTAAAGGAACACGAAACCACAAAAAATGAACTCACACTTAAAAACACAATGCGGTTAACATGTTAATATGATATTCAAAACTTGAAAGGTTGGATTTGCTGCAGTCAGAAAGCAAGAGCATCTGCCAGTACTTTGTCTCCAATTGGTATGGGATAGGTATCTAGTGTAGGTCTGATCTTAGTGCACATTTGATAAGTATTAGAGTTTGGTTTAGGGATATGCTGTTAGTGAAGAGATCACCCCCACTCACCCTGTTTACAGTACTACTGCCACGACCCAGAGAACGTGTGCCATCCATCTTAAGCATGGAAAGGAGATTTGGAGAAATAGGAGAAAAGGGCACAGAAAAGGTTAGCAGAAGGATAAAAGTAAAGGTGAAAGAAGCTAACTAGAGAAAGGAGAGATATTAGACAACAAAACACAGATGCAATGTCAGTTTTTAATAGTCCTGATCTCACACAGTCTCGCCATCAGTGTGCTACCAGGAGGTGACCGGCTAATAAAGCAGCAGAGAAGCAAAGGAAAGCAGAGAGTGAAAGAAAATCTTTTCTATGAAGAAAAATGGGAGAATCAATAAGAACAGCTGTCTATGTGCCTTCCTGTCTTTCTGGCTGAGCTCCACGCTGCCCTCACCTGGAGGCCGCTGTCTTTGCTGCGGCCCAGAGTTCCACTTTTATGAGATGATGCCACATGTGCCAGATACTGAATCACTTTCTTAGTATTCTCTGTCTTCCCCGCTCCAGACTCCCCCCTGAAAGACACACACACACACGGAAACAGTAGAGCTCATTTCAAATGACCACAGTAACATTCAAATAAACACATACAAACTTAGCCTTACAAAAACTGCAATAAAAACTAGAGCAGAGCTAAAGGTTTTCAAATAAACACTGGCAGGAGATGAAACCCTACAGTGGAAGCCATCTCCAATTTAAGATTTTCTCACAGACACATGCAAAACATGGAAAAACACAAACAACGGAGTAAAATTAGCAGTGTGCAATCGGCAGGAGGTACAGGACAGCTGTTTATGTTGGCCAGACTATCATAGCACATGCATAGACTGCTTGAATAGAGGCAGCGCTCTTTCATTGTATAAGTGTATAAAACAAAACACTCTTGCCAAAAAGAGCTTCACCACTCAGACATTGATATACTCAGAAGTGTACACTCACTGGATTAATGAGAGTCTTTTTGGGAAGGTTTTAACTTACACATTCACACTCAGTTAATATCAGTAATACTCACGTGCAAAGGATGGATTGATCTTCTCTGTCTGTAAAAAGAAGGGAGGAAGAGAGAGACAGCATATTAGTCTGTACACAGCCTTACCTCAGCAGTGTCTTCGATGCTGCAAAGCTACAGCTTGTGGACCCACACTTCTATTAACTAACAAATTCTTCAATTTCACACTTCAGTTTAACCATACGACTTAAATATTAGTCACTAAAATATTTACAGCAGTTACTGAATAATACATCTTAAGATTAATAACTGAATAAAAGACTGCAGTTTAACAGATGAACATTTGGAGATGATTTCTGGAGTATTACTAAAACATCTACTGAAGCATCTTAGCATGTTGTGAAAAAATTGGCGTTTTTTAAAACAATATAGAATAGTTTTTTTTTAACAATCACTAAACCTGCACCCATAAGACAACTGACAGAACTATCAATAACTATCTGAACAGGACTATTAACTTATGTCAAAAAAGTGAAGAAAAGGTGAAAAAGTGCAGGGTTTCATTGCATAATGCATCATAGACCATGTTCAAGAATTTTCTTTTTTTCATAATCTACACTGTGGTAATGGGCTTTATACACACAAAATAATCAATGCTATATTAGAATTAATATCACCTTTATTGGAGAAATTAAAAAAGGGGTTCCCGTTACACATCAGCTGTTTTTCTTTTCAAAAACTTGATATATCCAAAATGTATATACAGCACTTTGGAATGAAACTCTTCAATTGTACCTGTGGCTGTCTGTTTAGTGTGTGATCAGAACAGGTGGTTCAAAAACAAGCTCAGTATAAACCATTAGTTTAGCATTCTGCCTGAGGGCCAGATGGGCATATGAGAGCAGGCGCAGAGCAAAATATGTCTTGAACGTGAACATCTGATGTTATTTGTTGGTAATGTAATTTTGTTGAAAAATATTCTTTCAGCACATTTGGGGCTTGTGCTGCTGTCTAGCCACTGTCTCTGCTGCAATTGTTAAAGCCTTTGAGACATTATCTATTGCTCCATCACCTATCAGCCCATAAACTGCGCATTTAAGCTCACGCACCAGTTTCATACACAAAATATGAGCAGAGTGCAACCGATTTGACAGTTACAAACTAGTGACAAAAGCTTAGATTCTGTCCAGGCTACCTTGAAGCATGCTCCGGTAGGCTGCTTCTGATATAGCATAGATGTGTGGTGGCATTTCATGACGTTTTTTGCCACGATACATCTCCACAATGGACTCTGTGTAGATGGGCAGATTCTTGTAGGGGTTTACGACTACACAAAAGAGGCCAGAGTATGTCTACACACACAAACACACAGGGAGAGAGAGATTGGAATGATACAAAGGTTAGTGACAACATAATCCAACTTTTCCACCAACTCTCACATATAACAGATCAAAGTCACTATATCCACTTATCAGAAAACACTATCTACCCTAACTATCCACATGTGTGAGTGTGTACTGTATGAAACCTTATCTGTAACACAAAGCTCTACCTGTCACGAACAAACACACAGGCACGTGTGTTGTGTGTAACACTATCTTTCTCCCTTACTCAGCAAGACCGGCAATATGTAGTGTCCAGTAACATGCAGTGTCCAGTGACCAACGTGTGCAATATACACTCACTCAAACACTCACTGACACACAGTATCACACACGCACAAAAACACATACACACACACACATGCTCACACTGAAACAAATACTGAGATAATAGGACTGTTTTTAATGGAAAGTCTAACACTGTATCGAAACACCTGATGAGACTGAACTGAGTTATGATCAGTTACAATCTACAGTACCTTTCATTTATTGAAATACAGAAAATGTATATTTAACATAAAACTATACAAAAATATCAACAACTAAATATCATATCAGTTTTTCAGTATTTAGTGTGTCTACGCTTTTCCTTTATTACAGCTTCCATTCTTTTCAGGAGACTTGCTTTCGGTTTCTCAAAGAAATCTGCAGGGATATTTTTCCACATCTCCCAAAGTTCAGTCTTAGAAGTTGGTTGCATTTTCTCCTTCTCAAGTAGCAACCCAAGTTATCTCAAACACTTTGAGTCATGTTGGAGTCTGGACTATGGGATGGACAGTCGAACTAATCTGAACAGTCCAACTGTTCTTTGATATGTACATCTTGATCTTCTCAGCAGTGGGCATGAGGTCCTTAACTTGCTATAGAATGATTTTCACAGTGTACTGCATGATGAATGAAGATCACCAACTGTCATCAGATGTTACAAAAGTTCAAATTTGCACTCATCGTCCACTATGCTTTGCATAGCTTTCATAGTGTCTTTTTTCCAAGGTTCTTTCATCGCTTCAGTGTCATACATACTACTTCCTGTTACGTCCAAAGATCTCAAATTAAGACTTATCAGTCCACAAAATCTTACTCCACATCCAAGTTTTGGTGTTCTGGTGCAAAGTTTCTTATTTTTTGCCTATTTCTCAGTAGCAGCTTCTTGACAGCTACACATCCTTTTTTGACTCATAGTGTTGAGTTGTCTTCTCATAGTGAAACTATGGCCAGAAACACCTGTGGATTTTTTTAGATGTTAAGCAAGAGTAGACCTTGATTTTCTCCTCACTCTCAAACATGAAAGCTCATGGTGACAGTTTTGGTGGTCTACCAGGTCTTGCATGGTTGCTACAAGACCCATTTTGTCTGTATCCTTTAATACTTTTTTCCTCCAGTTTTCCGTCCAGAATATTTTTCACTTATTCTTTGTGCAAATTGATTATCTCATATATCTAATTTGTTTAGAAAGATCTCCTTTAGCCATTTTAGATGCATATAAGAAAGAACTTTGTAAGGCAGCTAAGGTGAGTTTGGGTGAGATTGCTTGTGTGAATGTGAGTGTCTCTTTGAAAAGGAAACACATTTGTTGGGAGGACACAGCTGAAACTGTCTGGTTTTAAGTATGGAAGGATCGAAGAGTTAGAGTGGCAGAAAGATTCCCCAAAGTACCAAAAGGCCACCCCATTACCCCTGTTTTTCTCTAGTTTTAAGGACATGAAAATGCACTAGAAGTCTTGCTTTCTCACACACACACTTACATATATGAGTCCTGAGTAGTAGCGTTCTCTCAGGTTGTGCAGGACAGAGGCCTCATTAAGGCAGGTGAGGTCAGCCATGTCCTCCACTTTACTGAAACGGGGCGGGTTCATTCGCTGAAGCTCCTCCCGCAATAATGTCAGCTTCCGCCCGCTGTCTGTAAGCTCCACCTCCACCTCATCCCCTCGCTCCTCACGCACACTCGCAGACTAGCAAACAGAAAGAGAAAAAAGAGATAGAACAGCAAAAGAGACTGAATAAATGTTTTCGCTGCATGCTACACTTCAAAATATCATAGACAAATACATATAATGTAATCTACTTGGCCACAGGCCATCTCTAATAAATGCATTCATCACACACACCCTGAATCCCTGCTCGATAATGTGACAACCACTAGAACTTCTCCAGGATAAGTGTGGGCCTTGTCATGCCATAGAAACAGATACAGAAACAGTTTTCATTCATTCTGCTCGTCTTTTCGAGTGCACAGACTCTCTCCTTCTCACACATACATACATACATATACACATTGGGGAACAGAGCCTGTATTCATGGTGATGGAGACAGACAGGCTGAGGGGGAGTGTGTTTGGGAGTGAGAAACCGAGAGAGAGACGTACTGAGATATGGTAAGAGACTGTGAGTGTGAATGAATACAACAGAAAGAGAGGGAGAGAGTGTTCAGCATTTCCTATTGGAGGTCATTAGGGCTACACTGCGATTTTCTCTCCCTCCCTCTGCCCTCTCTCTCTTTCCTTCTATCCCTCTCTCTTTCTGGCAATCAGTTACACAGTAACATTCTCAGTATATGGCGAATTAAAACGAGGCCTGTATCATGCTGCTGTTTAGCATTCAGCGCTGCAGGCTCAACTAACATATTCTTCTATTCATAGAGAGCCATATCAGAGCCCTGGAGTGCTGCTATGGAACTATGTCAGCGAGGAGAACTGCAGAGGTTATTAGAGTACAATGCCACAACCAGAACAGTGAAAGCTCTGGAAGTTTACTATACTCAGATGTTGTTATCTTGATTTACACTAAAAACCATTTGCAGGATCCTATACTTAGCCTGAAAACTATGAAGTATGTACTGTACACTAATCCTAATAGTGTATAATTTTGGCAGGTTAGTACGTAAAACATTAATGCACAGCTGATATCAAACTGTGAGCTTATAGGTTACTTTGAAACAACCACTGAATTAAAAAAAAAACTAGTGTGGTCTAGTTTTCCTAAAGTATTAAGTAAAAAATAAGCAGAAATAAAGACACAACATACACTCAGAAAACAGTTTGAATTAGTGCTTATTACACATTTGAGACACAGCAGCAAATTTCTTTTTTTCTCACTAACCAGCCACAAGCTAAATGTTGCACTATGCCATAATTTTATGGTGAGGTACACTTTTGAAGGGCATGAACAGGCCAAAGCCATAAACAGATCTTTTTTCACTGGTAAAATAATGTGCAAAGTCATTGTTGGCACAGTGGCCAAAAATACTGGCACACATCAAAGCCCATTACTGCTCTCTGAGGCACCATGACACAAAAAAGCTCACAGAAGCTACTACAGCTGCACAGTGTCATGCCACTGGCTCCGCTTCCTCACCTCAAAGCCATGTTTCTCAGACGGAACCCAGACGAGCCTCTTAGCCGCCCAATCAGCTTGGCTGGAGGCAGAGAATACAGAGGTGGGCGAGCTTGGTCCCGCCTCCATGGAAAGGAAGCGGGTGACATCATTTGCACCGCCCGCCGCCGGCTTGGACATGGCACTCTCCCTGTTAGAGAGAGAGAGAGAGAGAGAGAGAGAGAGAGAAATTTAATAAGTCTTTAAAACATGACATTTCAATTATATTCCATTTAACACAGAATACACAAAAAAGAAAGAAAATTATTAACTTCTTTAAATTAAGATGTGGCCACAGTGGTTGTCAGTCTGCTGTGAGGAGGTGTTGGTTTGGATGTGGCTTGGAAACCGCCCCCCCCACACTACCCTTAAAGAAGACACAGTGAGCAAAACAGCATTCTCCTTGCTATTTCACATACAATACTGTGCAAAAGTCTTAGGCAGCCAAGAAAACTGTTTAAAACTATTTATCTCAGCAGCATGTGTGTTTTTTTCAGTAAAAACACAACATAACATGAGAATAAATAAAATAAATATAAATACAGTAAAGTTACACTTACAAGAACTCACATGATTTAATTTAAGGAAGTTTTGATTAGCCAAACTACTCAAATAAACGTTTACTGCCCAGATAAACTGCCCAGATGGCTTCACATATCATTTTCTCAGAATTTTGCACAGTATGAGGAACTATGTTAAACTGCACAAAAAAAGTAAAATATGTCTCCTTTAAACATCTACCACATCATCTTCACATGTTGTGTTAGAGTAGGTGAGGTAAGCAAGTACAGCTGTAGTGCTGTGATTTCATTTAATTTTATTTTTTGTTTTTGCATCCATCCCTTTAAAGAAGTTCAAATAAAAGAATAGCAAGCACATCCAAATATTTCTAACAGAAAAATATATACCATTGGTCTTTATATCACAGCAGTGTAATGTCTTTCTCTGCTCACTAAAAGCCGTGTGATAGACAAAGACAGAGGTCAGCTGTTATCTATGAGACACCATCTCAGTTCAGTTCTGACTCAGATATCATTCCATGACTTACTGAGTAACTGAAAAGAGCAAAGCATTCATCTTTGATGAATGATCATTACTGCAATTACCCTCATCAGCATCATCATCATCAGAGAACACTGCTCACCAAGCCAGCAAGCCAATTAAACACAGAGCAATGTAGAGAAAGGAGGGAGGGGAGCACAGAGAAGGACTCTGAATGAGACACTCACTGACACAGAGAGGGGAGGAGGGAGGGATATATATTTTGGAGGAGGGATCCATATTTTGTGTAAGAATCCAAGGGAAGACTTGATAACTGAGACTTTGATCTATATATAGATCAAACATATGCCTAAAAAATACTGATGTATCAGCCACTCATAGCTGTTATTAGAGATCTATTACATGCCTGCTTATTGCCCTTATCTTAGTGCAGTGGATCAAATGCAAGTTTCCATAAAGCAAGGGCTAAACAGCTCCATCTCAGCCATCATAAGGAGTATGGCTGTATGGAAGATGGAAGATGTTTCCTCAACCCTTACAAGCCAAGAATTATTACATATTTAATTACATAGTAAGTAACACCATCCCATTTATATTTACATTCTGTATCACCAGGTTTAAGCACTTCTGGCATTTTTCTGTGTTTCAATATCAAGAAAAAAAAAACATAAATGTGGCAAAAATCTAAAGAATGTTTTTCCTTCTGCAAATGAAGACAGCATGCACAACATCAAACATTAAACAACTGTTTAACCCCTTAAACGGCCAGCACCCACCAGAGGGTCCAAAATGTTACTACACACCTCTGTAACCTCAGCCAGTTTGCACTGTAGTTACTGAATAATAAGCCTTATTATGTAATAACCCTGGGATTATAATCAGTTAACTGAATGTGTAAACTTTAGACAGAACTTCTCAGCTTATTTTAATGAGCTACAAATTAGGAAAAAATAACACTGGATATCATCAGTACACAAAGATCAGTGATCAACTGCACCTTCCATTACAAAGAGAGCATAACAAAGTCTGGTTAACTGATTTTACTTTAGCACAGTATGTGAAATATCAAAAAAAAATCATTGTATTCATAATTTGTAGTAGTATTCTTTCAATGTGGTACTACTGATGTTTGGTTTTGTCTGTTTCAACTTAACAAACCTCAGAAAATAGCTAAATATTAGGGATTCACAATTGGAATAGGCCAAGATCAGAATCAGCAGATGTTTGCTCAAAACTCAAAACTGGCAATCAGCCAATTTATTGTTTTGATTTTGGGAGATCTGTGTTGCAATTTCATGTGGGAAGTAAGTCAGGTTGACTCAGGTAAGTGCACTTGCCTCTTATTTTCAATGTAGATCTTTATTTGATTCATGTTAATCTAATAGGCCAATTTAAAATGTCAGGTCGGCCCATAAAAGAGCAAATAATGTCGTTCAAATCGCTTCAAGTTCATATCGTTCAAGTCTTTCTTATAAACATATTGCAAATGTGCAAGTATTTTTCACATGTTCATTAACCCAACACAGCCTGAGCTTCAGATTAAAAAAGGCTGATAAAAATCAGCCAAATTAATCAGCCATCAACTAATTTGGCTGCAAAATCAAAGTCATGCATTCCTACTAAATATCATATATTGTGTACTGTGAAAATGTCTTGAAATATCATGAAGTTATACATTTGCCATGTTGTCCACCCCTAATTGTACCATGCTTTTGATATCACAGACAATAACTGCAACTTCTAAGTTGAATCCATTAAATATAATAGTAGTCATGGATCAATGAACCGTATTACTGTAATGGACTCCTCATATTATATCTGGCTGACTTTTATTTTGATTGTCTTCTTTGTGTAATCAAATGAAGCATTTAAAATGTGTGTTTTAACTGTTTGCATCTGTTGTTGTCTGTACATGTATGTGTGTGTATGTATGTGGAGTGAGTGTGTGTGATGGGGGGGTAGAGCGAGACACTCTGTGTGGAGCAGGTTTGATGGTGATGTAAAATGACAAGGCAGGCCAGACAGCAGAGTAGCAGTGAAATCTTCATATATGACCTCAAAGCAGGCCATCTCACTGTACTCGCCCTTCCTCTGCCCATGCCACAGCATGGCCTTCAAATCAAATCATCGCCAAATCATATTTTATGTACACTACAGTAAAACAGGCCACTTCCCTGTAACCCACTTCTACTCAGCATCAGCATCAAGGAGCTCCATTCTAAATCATTTATACTGAACTTTCACTGTGAAAACATACAAAACTGAACTACATCTTTGACCAAATTCTTTTAATCCATTAAAACATTCATTAAATACATGTAATTACATCAATATGTATTATTTATGCCAGTTTTCTAAAAACAGTTATTACTTTTATTTAACATTTATTTATACAGGATTATGTGTTGTCTCACTTCAATTAGAACCCTGTAAACAGCTTATGTAAAAAACACTTTAGCATCAAATCATATTTAAAATCACAAGGCAAAAGTTCATAGCTAATTTAAACAAGTACAACTTTCATGGAGTTTCCCATTTAAGAGTTAACTGATTAACTTCCCTAACTGTCTCCTGTAATCCATGTATTCATATCTAGTCTTCATTATTTACAAGTTAAAACAATAACTAGCCTACATGGTAAACCATAAAACACTGTAGGCTATCCTAATGGAATCTTCAAAATATAGAAAATGCATAATAACATAAATTATCCACTAAAATGGGTTTTTTGTTTAGGTAAACTGCATCTGAAACAGCAAACACATGGGTAGAGGTCAGGCAGCCTCTCACTCCCTCCAGTGTGCATCCACACAAAGCACTGGTCAGCATTTCAAAGAGCTGCCCTCCAGCCTGGATTCAGGTTTGAATCTTTGCTCTGCAGTGTGTCCTTCTGGGGAGTGTGTTTGTGTATGTGTGTGGGGGGGGGGTCTCCGAGGATGTAATTACCTGCTTTCTTTTATAATGGAATGAAAGCATTGTGATGATATGTGCCAGTTAGATGTATGTGGAACACATCTACGTGTCTAACTGAAGTTTTTCGGGGGACTTCACTTTTGTTACATCCATGTAACGACAGGCATGTTGTCTGTCAGACAGTGTTGATGACTGTACCATTGCCACCTACTCTGAGCTCTGCCTTCACTAGCTGTTGGATTAGTTCAGAAATGGCCCTGTGAGATCACCTATGGGAAGAGCTTGAGTAGGTTAAGCATGATAGCCTACTTTTAGATGCTCATTTTAAGTGAAGTACTTCAATTAAAAGTGGCTCATTTTTAAAGCCAAATCATTTTTTAAAGAAAAAATATTGTTTTGCCATTGATATCACCCAGTGTTCAAGGTTTTTGTATTGGAAATAAAAATGTGCCATAATTATGTGAAATGGATCTTCATATAAGACATGTAAAACCTTTTTTCTTGTTTTATTTTATGTGAGCCCTATATTACTTGAAATTGACAAACATGAAACGTTTTTTGAGAAATGGTAGAAGAATTAATAAATGGAGTACACTTTTTACACTTATGTATGTATATCAGCATCCACTACTCAATTGTCTTAGCCATTGTAAGATAAGGGGAGAAATGTTGTGTCAATTTTTCTCTCACAGAGAGAGAGAGAGAGAGAGAGAGAGAGAGAGAGAGAGAGAGAGAGAGATGAAGGGTGCATACCCTTTCTCAAGGCATTGCATTGGTTCTAATTCATGATGGTTCAGTCCCAGTCAGCAAGACAGGTGAGTCCTGATCCACATGCACTCACTCACACGAGCTAACCGGGCAGCTCGTCTTTGTCAGCATTACCTTTTAGCTCTACACAACGAAAAACTGACGATTAATAATAACTGCGCATCCAGTGCTGTTTCAACATGTATTTCTTTTCCATTTTGTCCCCCACAAAGCTGTAGCTAGTCTCAAATTCCCCACCTTCTTATTCAAATTTTCCGTTCCACCTTAATCGGTGCAGCAGTTACACGCGGGCCTATACGCTCCCTGTCCACGCGCCAGAACGGAACTGCTGCACCATTTAAGGTGGAATGGAAAATTAGAATAAGACACTCAACTTCTGACTCGAGCTTTTTTTCCTAACTCATCACGACACGACACCTCATGTAGAGCTGCGCCACCACACGCAGCAAAAGCACTAAGGCAAATGAATATAATACCAATATGTCTCTCATTCCTCACGCCTCGTTTCACCATCCACGACAACATCGCTGCTATCTGACCGCACCAGCGAAGACGACACATGTAGCAGAGGGGTCAGTGTGGGAGGCGAGGCCAGGCAGCGGGGGAAAATCTTTCCTGGTGGAGAAACAGGGGCTGCGTCCAAACCCACATAAAATCATACTAAGCATTACAGAGTACTGCATACATTAGGATAGTACACAGAGTGTGTGTAGTATAGTATGTGGATTGGGACGCAGCCAGAGAAAACGGCGGAGGCTAAAGCCGGCGAGGACACAGTAGGCTAAGAGGCTAACGCTGCAGAGCCTACATTCACTGTCGCCCCTCTAAACGAGGAGATTTTAGAAGGTTTAATGTTCCTCCCTCACACACGACCTCCCTCAGCCCGCCTGCATGGCCACAAAGACGAGGAACCACACCTCGGGTGTCAAGACTGTCTGAAGAATAGTGGAGCAGATAGGCGGCTCCACACACTGAGGGGAGAGCAGTGAGGGTCGTGTTAATGTGCGGCAACATTAATGCAGTCTTTGTTCTGGCGACAAGAAATAGCATTTTTTAAATAAACGCTGGACAGTCTTTAATTTGCCTTTAACGCATGAACAAGTGGTTAACTTACATGGTTAATAGCACGCCCAGTTGGACTGCAGGGTGCACCATACAGGCGAATTTAGTATAAATGCAATTAATAGACACAGCGTGGGCTTTAATTTATGCAGTCTGTATTAAGAACGCGGGCTAATCTGCCGAGATATAATACATTTTGTACACAACATTTCAGTATTAGGATCGTTTCCAGGGAGCGGCAGCTGCTGGGGGGACTCCCCCTATTCGGGGTCATTTTCAGCTTTCTGCCCCCCCTGCATTTAGACGAAGCTCACTGGGTTAGCAAGCAGCTAAAGCGCTGAAATACGATAGTGTGCGGCGCGGTGGGAGCGAGGATAAGGCGAGCGTCTTACCTTGGGTCTGCTAGTCCAAACTGGGAAACAGGAGGGGAAAGGGGAGGCGAAATAAGGCGCTTTCTTGGGCTTTTCTCTCTCTGTTTTTTGGTCAGCCTGTAAGGAGTAATACTGCAAATGCGGCTTTTCACATGACAACGCTCCTGTGAAGCCGCACCGCTCATTCACAGTGAGAATAAAACGAAGTGAGGGCAAGCGGGAGGCTTCAAACAAGCACGAACGCTTCCTCCGTCTCGACCAATAGAAGTCAGAGTGGGCGCAGAATGTCAAACGGCAGCCAATCACAGCGCAGATTGTCCCCGAAAACCCGCCCACCGAGCAGTGCAGTGCGGCCCCTCCTCAGTACTGGAACGCTGCGACGCGTCATCCAATAGAATGCGCGGCAGCGAGATTGACAGGCGGCACAGCCAGTCGGACGAGCGCTAAAGCAGCCCGCATGGCCGAATGAGAGCAGAGGAGCAGGTGGCGGTGCGGAGCTGCAGACGCTCTTTGTGGCTCACAGGCAGAAAGGCGCTGCGCAGATTCAACACTAATCCGGTGGCCGCACCTTACGATCCCAGCACACCAGACTAAACAGGTTAGCAAGGCTTAAGGCTGATAACAACATCAAGCATAAAGAAAGTACTATTAGAACGAACAATTGAAAACATGTAGTACATGTTAGTAATATTAATAATAATAATAATAATAGCAAAGCTATTTGCTATTTGCCAGATTGGAATTAAAAGTGAGAAATTAATAGCTCAAGTCAATAGAAAGTCTGGACAGAAATGTCAAATGATTTACTGCTGAAACGTCTGTAAAACATCTGTTAAAGCAAAACGCAATTATTTAACTACTCTGCAATAGTTATCAGAGTAAAACCTTTAGCCAACGCAAGCACAACGCTAGCAAAGCCCTCAATAACATAAATGATGATTAATGGAAATTAACAGCAAAGCACTTGTGTCAGTAAAATAAATGTTTTATTTACTTTACAGGGCTTCTATTTTCCATGAAGCACTTATTCTTTGCTACATAGTCATAACAATGTATGAATAGCATTTGAGAAACATGGATAAGAGTTAGTGAGAGTGAGAAATAGTGAATGGAAAATTATGGATTATGGAGAGTTGGCATAATAAAGCATGCAAACAGGAAACGTCTGATTATCAGTCAGTTATGATAGAAATATTGAAGTTTGGTTGATTTGTGTTCAAGTTACAGATGAGAACAGGAAAGTAACACACTGACAACAACAGGCATATCATCGCTGTCCAACGAAAAACATGTATCTCCAAAATGGTAGGTTTATAGGAGAGAATGCAAGTTAGTGTAAAGAGATTTAATTGTGAGCAATTTTGAAGCATTTCTGTTGGTCCAATCTTCATGAAATCTTCACACAATGTAAAAGACAGCTGCCATGCTCAAATGATGTAGAAAAGCAAAAATTGAAAAAAAAATGGGGATACACAGTTTTTTTTTGGACACTGACGATATATTAATAGTGTTGTAGCCATGGAGACTAGTAACCCATATGCACACACACACATACACACACACACACACACATACACACAAATCAAAGGAATACGAAAGAAATAATTTTAAAAGGATTTAAATAAAACCATGAATACAAATATGAGTTTATTTACCTATCTAGCAGTTTCCTGTAATGCTAGTTTATCACCCTAAATTTAACCCTATGATATCTGAAGTATATCTTTTTTCTCACCTAGAATCAGAGCAGTGGCACTGACTGCACTGAACACAATATTTTTAGAAGTATTTTGTCTGAGTCAGGCTAACTAGGAATGACTCAGATATTTTCTTTCTCTCATTTAGATCTTGTATCTCATCTATAAAATCCATTTTCCAGGCTCTTAAAATATGTACATACATTTCACTCAAATCTGTATCAGACTTAAGCTGAACATAATGAATCAAGTGTAGTAATATATTTGAGTACATATAGTGCATAGAACAATACAGTAACAGTTCCTTCAAGATCTGCATTATACCTAGAATTAGCATATAATGTCTTATACTAAATGACATCACATTAGTTCAAAACATTGTGACATTTGAATTTTAACTCTGCATGATGACTGGTTCAAAACATATTCTTTGGAAGGGACACTGGAACAAATTAGTGTCTCCTGCCTGACACAAATCCTGCTCAACAACTTACTGTGGTTCTGGCTGTGTGTATTTAAGAAAGAATGAAAGGAACAGAGAGAAGATAGAATGGAAGACAGACAGAGACAGAAAGAAAGAAAGAAAGAGGGTAAAAAAGAGAAAGAAAGAAAGAAAGAAAGAAAGAAAGAAAGAAAGAAAGAAAGAAAAAGAAAGAAGAAAACCTCATGGCAACATGTGGTAGAAACATTACAACAGTGTAAATCAGTCTCCACAGATACTAACAGTTTTGGTTGCTGTGAGCTCTCATCAGTAAAGTCCAAAAGAAAAGAAAGAATGAAAGTCTTTAACACAAACAGCAGCTGATGGCAGCTTTCACAGATAAACTGCTCCAGAGAGTCACTTTTATCCAGTGTACAGGAATATTACTATTGCTTCTGAAGCTTAAAAAGAAACAGTTCTATGAAGCATTAAAGTGACCAAAATATTAAACCTTTTTTGGGGTTGAGACTGTGCAAAAGCTGTGATGTACATTTTAGCAAAAATCACAATCTGTAGTCACCTAGACACAAGAAAAAGAGCATATACGTACACAAAACCTTGTATCTCCATGCATGTGTGTACATTTATTCCCATTATGGAGATACAAGGTTTTGTTCTAACAGTGACTATATACATATATGTACACAGTTCTGTGAAAAAGTCAGAGATCACCCCTTTTTATTTAATTTCTAGTCAGTTTCCAGTCATTAAGTACATGTTAGTCATTTTTCAGGAACTCTTTCTGAGATCAGATATAAGCTAATCCCCTTCTATAAGGAAGGGAAAAGTCAAAACAAGTGGAAAATGGAGTTTCAAAAGCTTTTCAAAAGAGTTAAAAAAATGTTACAAGATATAGAGAAAATGGGACTCCTAACAACCACACAGACCTGGCAGACCACCAAAACTGTCTGCATTAGATAAACAGTACTAAATGCTTTCATCTTTGATAGAATATCAAAGAAAGAATCTTTGATAGAAGAAAAACAAGCTCTACTCTTGCTTCAGATCTAAAAAAGGGCACAGGTTTTTCTGTTAATCCTCAATTCAACACTATGAATTGAAAGGATATGTAACTGCCAAGAAGACATTAATGAGAAAAGGAAAATGACAAAAAAGAGGAACATTTGCAAACCAAATAAGGATGCTGCTGGTGTCAGAACAATGGACTGACCACCCCAGAGCATCACTGAATGTGATCTGGATTGTTTAGATAGTTAGAAGCAGAACATGAAACCATCTTCCAAGACTGAACTTTGGAGGTGTGGAAAATTTCCTGCAGAAAAATAGATGTTATATTTATTTCTCGAGTATTCTATGTAATGTTCTGCTATATATATTTTTTATTTGTTTTTTTTCTGACATTGAAAAATGAATAACTTGGCTATTGGCTATTTTGACAAGAAATTGAATATATGGAGGGGGTCTCTTACTTTTGTACAGTACTGTGTATATAATGCTCTGTATTTAATGTATTTAACAATAATATAAAAAAACATACAGTAATGACATACAGTACATATAAGAAACATCAAGTGCTGCAGATCTCCTGTGGTTTCTTGTTCTATAATAGCTCTAGCAAGTAGCCCAACATCCAGTTAAAGACACAACAAAACTTGCAACAGGTATTCTCAGTGCAGTGCACTTTCTCATCACCAAAAATATGTTTGATGAACCATAGAAAGTAAATCAATCCTCTTATTTTGAATATATTCAATTGCAGGTGTAGGAGATCCATTTACTACATCAGCTTATATCCAATATACAAAATTATTTCGTTTGTCCAAAATCAGTGGCAAAGATCTACCATTCACTAGAGCGCAAAAACATAGTTAGGTGGTAGAGTGAGTGTCACCATTAACACTCTCTCTCTCATCTTACTGTGATTGTCCTCTAGTATGGTTTATTGACATTGGACTATTCACCAAATTAGAATCACCTCCACTCACTTGCTGTTACTTGTTGCTGCCACACGGGATCACTGTTGAGTCTCTGTTAGGTACTTGCTAGAGCAGATCCAGGTTGGTGTTCTGCCACTAACAGAACCCAGTGAACAGTTACACGGATTCTGAAAGATTGCCAGGTCCAATCAGCCATGTGGGTCAGTGTTGCAGCCCTCCTCATCTCAAAATAACCCTCTCAATCGCTCTCTCTCTTCCTCTATTTCTCAATCACTTTCTGCCCAGTCCATGTCTAATTCAGTCTATTTATTTGGTAATTTATTCTTTTGACCCATATATGTGTATATATATATATATATATATATATATATATATATATATATATATATATTTGCTTTTCCTGACCTGAATCTTCTCTGACCGTAGCTCCACATTCCCTTCCTTGCTGAATTTTCTCCATGTCCTGGCCCTGTTTACCAGGAAGTAAAACCTGCCTCATTCCTCACTCTAATCCTCAGTATACTCTCACTGACCCCACATGTAGGCTGTGTAGTTTTTTTCTGTTACGCTTCAGCCCTGATCTGATATTTATGATTTTCTTTGTCTTCTTTCCTCTGTCTATCACTGTCTCAGTCATGCTTAAAGAAGGGGCCCTACCCCCACCTTCCACTCCTTTATCCATTCTCTCCTTATCCTTTTCTCCTGATTGTGGCCTAGTACCATTAATCCGTTCTCTTCTCTTTTCTGCCTTTCAAAGTTCTTGTCCTTTGTTTGAAGCTTTCTCTCTGTCCTCACTGAACCTCATTACCTCTAACTCTGTCCTCTCTCTTTACCATCTTCTCCACATATATTTCTCTCTCTCTCTCTCTCTCTCTCTCTCTCTCTCTCTCTCTCTCTCTCTCTGACCCCATTTCTCCCCTGTGCCCAATGCCCTTTGCCCCCGGCACTAGTGAGGGCTCAATGTGTGTGTGGGTGCTCATTGCGGGAGCCACAACGGGTCGGGGGCGGAGGTGTGGGGAGAGTGAGTGAAGGAGAGAGAGAGGGGGATGGAGAGATTTTGCTAGGGGAGGGGGGAGGAGAGGAGGAGAGCTGCAAAGCCACTTCATTCTCGTAGCAGAAAGAGGAACGGGAGCCCAGGATGTATTTTTTCTCAGCCAGCTCTTTAGCACTGCTGGATGGCGTGTCAGGGACCTCATACGTCCTATTGAAGTAAGAGTAGTCCACCTAAAGAGGGAGACACCACAAACAATGATAAGAAGCACTGAGAAACAACAAATATTTCTATGCTTTTTTCTTGTTTTATAACCCCCTGTATTGATATCCCTATGAATCCTTGGCTTGCTGTTCAGTTATTTAGCATAAGATTTACTATTTATTACACTGTAAATGGTAATAGGATACTTTACTAGAAAGTTGTGAGCAAGTTTACTTATATTTCTATATCTGTATACTTGATATTTCTATGTTTATGTGTAGACCCACATACAGGCCCCTAAGTTTTAAAGAATTAAACAGATTTGATCTTTGCTAGATTTATTCTACTGAACTTTCATTTAGCCTGGTTATTAGTCTTAGGCCGATAAATTACATTTTCAGGTACTGATGTTATGCAAATTACCATTCTTTCGTTCTCTTTCATATACCATGTGATTTTTTTTACTGCATTGCCTTTATTTAACTATTTCGCATTTCTATAACCTATTGTTTGTTCAAAAATGAAGGCAAAAGATGAGACTGCAATTGGAAAAGGCTATACAAACAGAATAAAACCAACTATAAAACCATTATAAAGGATCAAGTAGTTAGAAGCCAGCCCAGCTGGTAGTTGGTAATTACAGAACATTGCCATCAGAGAAAGTGCAAGCTAAAGGGTAAGGTTCTATAATTCTCTAATGTGGTACATCGTAACTGAATTTGGAAGACAATGATATTGTTTATTGTGATAATTATGCAGTTGATAATTTGTTGTCTATTGTTCAAGCTTACTGCCTAGTTGACTTCTCCATGCTCTGCCCACAAATGTATTCTTTTGTAGCTGCTGTTGCAAGGCAGGATGTTTCACAGATGTATTCAATCTTTTGAAAAACTGTAGTGCACAAATATATTACTACACAACTTTAAATTTGTTAATATATAGAAAATTAGATTGCATTATTAATTTCAAATGCTAAGCTAGGTAAGTTAATATTTTGGCAAATCCCTAAACCTCTTAAAATCCCAGGCTTATTCTATACTAAGGCTTGTTATTCAGTAACTACAGGGACTGAATATAAACGTGTGGAGCTATTCTTAGGTTATAGAAGCGTGTAATAAAACTTTGGGCCCACGAGCAGGCCCTGGCCATATAAGGGGTTAAATATTGTACTTGCCATACATACTGACATTACAGCAAAAACAGTAAGTAGTAAGTACAGCTATATGTTGCCTTGAAAAATATCAATAATGTTTAGCTAAATGAAAAAGCAACCTTAAATTTAGGAGAATTAGGAGATCATCCAATCATGGATGCTTCCGTAGCTCTAAGGCAGGTTAATTATTTGAGTGGTTACATATACTATCCTAACAATGTTATCTACACAAATACAAAATAATTTATGCATTTTGACAAATTTAAGCTATTTGACAAAAATAAACAAGAAAACCCTTCTCTAATTCATTTTCCACTAAATGATGCATTGAATGACATTTTTGTTAGAATTCTGTGAAGCTTGTCCCATTTGTAACAGCCACAAAAGAAACATTTGTTTGTGAAGCATGGACAGGTCAATTGATGCAGATGTTTCATCCCCTTTCTATGCCAGTACCTCTGTAGCTAGGCTCTGTCCTACCTGGTAGCAGTTTTTCTTCTCAAAGAGCATAGGTTCGAATCGATGACCCCAAAGGATCTCAGAAGCCAAGTAAGAAGAGCGGCACTGTGTGGTCATGGCGGTTGCTTCAACCATGCCTTCCAGAATGACCACCACCTCCAGCTCTGAGTCTGTCTCGAGTGTCCGCCTGTCCATCTCAAAGAACGGGCTTTCCTCGTCAATCTCGTGCACAATGGTCACCGGAGACACCAGAAAGATTCGATCAGTGCCTGTATCAAAACCCACATTGATGTCCTCGTTGTCCAAAGGTAGAAACTCCCCCTCTGGGGTCACTCTTGGCTGCAAGAAAGGTTAGAGTTCAGTAAGAAAAACAATCAGCAGCCTTAATTTTAAACGAACTCATATAATTCTGCAAATTTTTCCATGGTAGAAGTCCTTTGAGCATAGATCACAGGGGATTATTAGACAATGTGGGTTCCATGATTAGCTACGAGCGAATCACACTTTGTACATTCATGTGCACACATCAGAGCAAAACTATTTTCACTGCATATAACCACCAGCGTATACATACTCTCACTTTTAGTTCTAGTTAAATGCAAACATACTGACACAAACAGATTTAATCAGTAATACAATCCTAGAGAGATAAGATCAGAGAGTCAATGGTTTGTAGCAATACAGTCCTGGTAAAATTAATCCCCCCACAAATCTTATAAACCCCTGAAAGAGCCAGAACAAAACAAGCTCTCATTTACCAAACCATCCGCCCAGATGTCCACCTATCTCTCTCGCTGTCTCTGTCTCTGTCTCTCTCTCTCAGATATACTCCACACGGGTTAGAACATCATAGTCATGATAAAAATATCTTTTAAAAGATGCTTCAAATCTAATGCCCCCCATCACTCGCTCTCTATCCTTCTCAATCCCTCACTCTCACTCACCTTCAGCAGCTGTGCCCGGACATGGGCCTCCACCAGGTGGCTCTTACGCAGGTTTCCCACACGCCACATCATGCAGAGCTTCCCGTCCCTCATCGCCACCACGGCCACCTCAGAGAACACCAATGTCTCATTGCGCTTTTTGGGCTTGGCGATCTTGGCCATGACCGCCCCGACGATGAAAGCATCGATGATGCAGCCCACAATGCACTGCAAGACGACAGCCAGCACCGCCAGGGGGCAGGCCTCGGTCACACTGCGGAAACCATAGCCTATAGAGGTCTGTGTCTCCAGAGAGAAGAGGAAGGCAGCCATGAAGCTGTTCACCTGCTGAAAGCAACGTTCATCAGGCTCCACCAGTTTCCTAGAATGCTCCACTTCTGGGTCCAGTGAAGTTGTAGAAGTAGAAGAAGATGAAGAAGTGAATGTGGAGGAGGAGGAAGATGATGATGTGACAGTTAGATCCCCATGTGCAGCAGCTATGAGCCAGAAGGTGAATCCAAAAAGCAACCAGGAGAGCAGGAAGGAGAGGGTGAAGACCACCAGCATCCAGCGCCAGCGGATGTCCACACAGGTGGTGAAGAGGTCAGTGAGGTAGCGCTGGCCCCTGTCGCTCATGTTGACGAAGGTGACGTTGCAGCGGCCGTCCTTGCCCACAAAGCGTCCACGGGGCCGGCGGCGGCGGCGGCGGCCTTGGATGCCTAGGGGGGGCGAGGGGGAAGGGGAGGGGGACAAACTTCTCTGGGCTCGCTGCCACCCCCCTTCCCTCCTGCCCGAACCCATGATTGCCGGGCCACAGCCTCCTCCCACTCCCCCTCCTCCTCCTCTCCTCCTTCCTCCCATTGATCCACCATCATCACAATCATCATCATCATCAACATCATCATCATCATCATCGTCCTCCTCGTCTCTCACACCACTCTTCGCTTCGTTGCTGTGGTGCAGGTTGAGCAGTTTGCCATTGCAGGTTGGAGAGGGGAGATCCCCTCCACATGCCCCTGTGACATCATCACTCTGAGCGAGCTTCATGACCTCCTCCTCGTCAAGCGGTGTGTCTACCACGGCACTGAAGCGTCGCTTGACCCGCGCAGCTCCCATGACTGGAGACTACAGACAAGTATGTAAGTCTATGCAGACGACAGAATGGGGAAATGCCCAAAATGTACAAGTGAAGATTTTGAGCTGGAAACACAAATTAAGTGTGGTGTACATCTGTCAAAGTATGTGCAGGTTCAAAGCTGTTATTGAGTTCATTCCCCACATCGTAATAAAGAGTCCCTGGTTTCCAGTGGTTTATTATAGTTAATAGTTAAAAAAAAGATTAAAAAATATGTTTTTGTGAGGAGGTTCACACTGATATATAAAAAGGTTCCAAGCCAGTGTTTCTTTACCTTCGAAAGTATCACTTGCAAAAATCCTGTTTAATGTACAGTAGATTCAAATCCTGAGAGACCTGTGCTGTCTGTAGGCAAAATACTGGAACAATCATCAAAAGGAGCAGCATTGACAGACCGACGGTCCTCAGACTCAACTGGACAGGAAGATTTTACTAGAGTTGTAAATGACAAAAGAATCCAAATCCTTGGAGGTCAGGATACATCAGTACCATAGAGGAGAATTCCAGCAGCAATGTGGAGAACAAAGATCTGAGATCTACACAGTGTGCACAAGTGAAATATGGAGGATACAAGCATTCACACACTCACACTCACAAAATCTGAAGGTACACACAGACCAGGCTTAGCTTGCACAGGACAGAAATGCAGACAGCTGTGATATACAGTTCTCTGAAAGAACATGAATAGCAAAGGGAAAAATAAAGCAAACTAAAGAATGATTACACCCAGCAAAGCACTGAGAAATCACACCCCTTGCAGGAAACACAGGAAAGTGTGGTGAAGAGGAAAAATGTTTGAGGCATGCATTCAAATCCCAGCCATACTAAAGTAGCCAACAATAAGAATCATGCCTATACAGACCAATTTGTCCTTCCAAGACTTCTTCACCTTCCTTTGGGAAAACAAAGGAGAGAGACTGGGTTACTATACCCTGTAACTGTACGATGATATTTCAAAGCTATTTGTGACACATACCCACACGCACATTTATAAATATAGATTATGCTTACAGTAAAATTGAATAACTGTCATTACTCACTGGATAATGTCAGTCTCTTAAATCTCATTCAACAGGTGCAGTCCACACAGATCTCAACAGACATCTCAATTACCCATCAACATGATGTAGACAAAAATAAATAAATAAATAAAAATTAAACACAAGATGCTCTGTCACAGTCCCAGGTCCATGTTGAATCTGATATGCTGTCCACTTTCATTTAGTTTCAACAGAATTTCCAGCCCTAAAGCTTTTCCCCAGTTCTCCAAAACACAGTGTCATTTTGTGTCACATGTCTTTTGAGTAGCTCCAAACAGCTGAATTCCAATGGAGACAAAAATGTCTGCTCTGGGTAGAAGAAAAAGGTCAATTGAGAGAATCCAGGATACAAGTCCTCATTAAAACCTTGGTTAGTATAAAAAGAGGCCTCTCTGGGACAGAAACTGAAAAATCAAGAGATTCAGAACAGAAAGTGTGATTTTTTTTTGAGAGACAAAACAGAGACAAAAGTTTGAGAGAACAGAGAATCACATCTAACCTATTACAGAACAGATATACTCAAATTAACAATGACTAATTTTACTAAAAGTGGAACTATGACTGTTGTTGATTGATGACGTTTTTATAGAGTTAAAACATCACTGTGTAATGTCTCTGAGGTCTTGTGACATTGGAATCATCAACATTTTAGATTGTTAGCATCCAGTCACTAAATTCAGGTGGGCTGCGAGAACATACATTTTTTAAAACATCCGACAGGGGCCTGTGAAAACGAGGCCAGAGATACTAAAAAAGGGCAAACTGAGAGGAAAAATGGAACATGCAGGAAGGAATCAATAGCTTCACAGACTAAAAAAGCCTTTTGCTGAAGTCAAAAAGAGCCTCTCGGGGTGGTACGTATTTTTTGGATGTGCTGAGCAGGATTAAATAGGTTTTAAAATAAACATGCAGGAGTCAGAGAGGGCAAGAATAAAGCTTGATTCACATGTTACTTTAAAATCCATATTCTTGGCGTATCCATAGTTTGATTCTTACTGAATTGAAGGTGTTGCTGCTCTTGGGAAAACACCTGAAAAAGACAGCATCAAGGCACAGCAGAGGAGGAAACAAAAATGTATGCAGTTTTTGCTCAAAAGAAAAATGAAAAGAAATCAGAGATAAAACTCAAAAAAACAGCAACAAATGAAAGTGAGGAAAGAGATCTTTCCTGAACTGAGAGGTGACATAGGGGTTCATCTTCAAATTTTTGGTGCCTTCACATCAACACTCATAGTGAACTATATCCAGCAGCAGTTCAAAAGAAACAGATTCTTTCTTGCACTTCCAACTTTATTTCCTGTTTGTGTCTGCAGTCTTCACCTTTTTGGTCTAAGGGCAATAGTCCTGGTTCTTTTCACTCAGTCCTAGAAGAAAAAAGAAGCATACAATCAATTTAGATACAAAAAATATGGGGAAAGAAGAGAAGTAAAAAAAAAAAAACAAACCTCATATTATGTGAGCCAGTGGTGATAGTCACCTAACTTCCCTGTAAATATAAACTAACCACAATGAAGCATCTTTGACTAGTGTACCCACTGTGACTTTTGACTGGCATTCTTCATGCACCTTGAATGAGCTGGTGAAATCTTGAATGAGCTGGAAAAAAAACATGAATAATTACCCATGCTGATGCTATTGCAAGTCCTGCCAGTTAGAAGTTAATGCAAGCTGAACTTATTAGGAGAATTAATGGTGATTCTCCTTAATTTTCTTTAGGAGGAATAGCATCAGACAAAAAGGAGACATGAGATACAGGAGAATTAAAGGAGACATGAGATTTTAGTTAACATATAAACATAAGAGTTGTTGTCTTGGAAAATCTGAACACAATGTGTGTTCTTCTAAAACTCAAGAGGAGACACATGACATCACTGAAGTCTTTTTCTCAGGAGAAATATCTTAGCAGCAGAAGACAAACAAAAGTCTTCTTTGTCTTTCCATCTGATCTGATTGACATCTAGGAGAAATTTCACAGATATTAAGGAGATCTCTTTTTTGATTTTTTACCATGCGTTTCTATTAGAGCCCTATTAGGAAAAGTTCCTTTAGTAGTTGTTGTTTTGCGGTAACGAAGAAAAAGATCTGGAAATGAAGAATAGGTTGATAGGAAGGGGCGGCACATACTGTTAAGAAAGTGGATGATTAGAATAATCCTGAAAGGCTATCTCAGAAGGGAGGTGTGCTGTGAGAATATCCCAATCTTGCATTGCCTAAAATCACTGGTGAAGCGATTCACTGATTACGTGCTTCTCATGAGCCTCTGAGTTGCATGAATTTGTTGAGAAAATTGAGCCTGATCAAGCCCAGCTTTCTCTCAGGGGATTAAAGTGTGGATTTAACATTAGTTGTTAAAAGGTCTGGCTTCCACAAACCAGACCCACAAGAAACCGCAGGTTGTTCAAAGGCTGCTTCAACAGCAATACAAAAATAACTTACTTTTTAGTACAAATATTACAAATTGATAAAACATTTTCCACCAACATTTCACTGATTTTTTAAACATTTCTGTATAATGTAATGATTAAGCTGTAAAAAGTCCTTCAGAGGGGTTTGATGTGATACGCTCTATTCTAGAGAAACTTACTGAGTCAGATTTGTTTACAGTGGTTACAGTAGAACATCTGAATATGCAGCCTTATGTGATGTCTGAGACATTGTTTTATGAACACATTACAATGTAAAAATGTAATTTTAACATTCATTAATGGTGAAGGGGTACATGTAGGTAAGTTCTTATCACCACATCTGTAAAGAAATCAGAGTCTGTAAGTTTCTCTCCAATGCATTATATCACACCAGACTGCTCTGAATGATACTTTGCATCTGAACAAATGATTTATGCATAAATCTTATAAAATCATGGAAATGATGACATAATGATAAGTAAAATAATGATAAGTAAAAAAAACATGCATTCATTGTTTGAAATCTGAAATATCAGTTTATTATATATTTTTTAATTATCTCCTTATATACCCTCAATGGTCAAAAGTATTGGGACACACCTCTTCACCTCAGGTGTTTCATTCAGTCCTGTTGCCACAGGTATATAAAATCAAGCACTCAGCCATGCAGTCTGCCTTTACAGACATTTGCGAAAGAATGGGTCGTTCTAAAGAGCTCACTGAATTCAAGTGTGGTGCTGTAATAGGATGCCACCATTGCAACAAGTCAGTTTGCAAAATTTCTTCCCTCCTAGATGATCCACGATCAGCTGTGAGTGGTATTATTGAAAACCATAAGTGTTTAGGAACCAGAGCAACTTAGCCACGAAGCATCAGATCACGTAAAGTTACAGAGCGGGTCACCGAGTGCTGAGATGCATAGTGCATAAAAGTCATCAACGCTCTGCTGACTCAATAACTGCAGAGCTCCAAACCTCCTCTGGCTTTAACATCAGCACACAAACTGTGCACCAGGAGCTTCATGGCATGGGTTTACATGGCTGAGCAGCTGCATAAAAACCCTCTATCACTAAGCACAATACCAAGTGTTGATTGGAGTGGTGACGAATCTCGCTTCTCTATCTGGCAGGCTGATGAATGAGTCTGGGTTTGGTGAATGCCAGGACAACGTTACCTGCCTGACTGCATTGTGCCAAACCCTTAGTTCAAGCCCTTAGTTCCAGTGAAGAGAAATCTTAATGCTTCAGCATACCAAGACATTTTGGACTATGGGAACAGTTTGGGGAAAGCCCTTTTCTGTTCCAGCATGACTGAGCCCCAGTGCACAAAGCAAGGTCCGTAAAGGCATGGCTGGGTGAGTTTGGTGTGGAAGCACAGAGCCCTGACCTTAACCCCATCAAACACCTTTGGGAAGAACTAGAACAGAGATTGTGAGCCCTCTTGTCCAACATCACTGTCTGACCTCACAAATGCCTTTTGAGTCGAAGCTGTTATAGCTGCAAAGGGGGGACCAACTCCATATTAATGCCTATGGATTAAGAAAGGGATGTCATAAAAGCTCCTGTAGGTATTATGTGTAGTTGTCACAATACATATGTCCATATAGTGTATAAGCTTTATTCCTCAGCACATTTATTACCTCCTCAGGCCATTTGGTTTTTTTTTGTGTGTTTTGAAAGTAATTATAAATCACACCAAAATAATCAAATTTAATCATGTTGAAATTTGAGATTTCATTATGTTTGGAAGAATTTCCTAATAAATTGTAATTGAATTGAATCACCGTGGGGTCAAAAGTCTACAACCCTAGTCTGAACATCATGAAAATAATAGCTTTGACTGTAATCTCTGACTAATAAACATTGAAATAAGGCTAATAAAAAAGGCCTGGACAATGGCAGAAGTGCAGGTGTCTAATTCATACTCTACAAATGCCTCCTCTCTGAACATTCCCCATGCTTCCATACAACAGAACTATAGTGAACTATTCCAAAATGTTATATGATAAAAGTACTCTGTGAAATGAAAGTATGTCTATTATCACAAATAAGAAGATTCAGAAATCAGTAATGGAGCTGCTTTTCACTAGCTGTGGCCTTTGTCAGCCTGTGAACCTTTGGTTTGACCTTTACAAACATTGTGTACACATAACCCAAGGCCTCATTTGTCGGTGTGTAGATGTGCTGTCTATTCCTGTCTGCCAGGATCTCATTGCTGGGCCCAACCCATTGATCTGACTCTCACAGTGAATCAGTGGACAGCCCACTGAATTGCAGTACCATTCTGTACCAGATTACTCTTTAAATATTGCATGCTTTTTTAAGATATAAAAGTTTTCTACTCCATCTGAATCCAAGAAAGTGTTTTACTGAAATGTCAGTCATCTGGATGCAACAACTGCCTAAGTTAAAGCTTGCTAATCTACATCAATAATGTATTATTATTAAAATGATTCTGTGACTCACATGAAAAGCATTTGACTGTCCCCACAACCCCTGCATGTGTTGGCTATCTGGACAAAAGTGTCAACAGATGTGGAAAATACTTAGAGGTCATTCCATGCCAGCTCACCTAGAGCTTGTCTGGGCACATCAAATCTAGCAAATACTTCAATTTAAGTTGTTCCACCATGCAAAATTTCAACGCAGTGCTCAAATTACTTTCAAGAATAAGAGTGAATTTTTAAGTTTGCCACATCAGGTTTTAAATAACCTTAAATATTAAGTGTAACTGTTTGCAAAATGGTTGAGTTAAGCTGAAATATTACCTGGGTATAAATACAACACTAATACTAATATTTCACTTTAACTCAAATAGTTAAATGTTAAGGTCCACAGGTTAATGTATCAGAGAATGTACTTATGTCAGAAACGTTTTTTTTTTTCCTGAATAACAACTCTAAATAGAATTGTAAGCAAAAAAACACTGTATTTACAAAATAGCCTTTACAGTGCTTCAGAAAACAAGAAAGGCAAAGAGCACAGCGGTATAACACTGCTGATTTCACTTGAATTTTCAGTTTCTGCTGCCAGTGTCCCAGATGCTTTTAAAACCTCAGTGGTGTAAAATTGAAGCCCGTTAATATTCTCAGGATTTTTGAAATCTCTCTGTTTTTACATTACGTTAAACATTATTTTTTTAGTTAAAATTGATTAAACAATCAAGAAGTCTTAAACATCTGTAATGTTTCCTACATGACAATCAGACATTGGATCACAAGGTGCTGGTTCACTATTAGTACTCAGGATTAATCATCACATTAGACAGTAGAGCTTTTTCAGACAAAGCCACCCCAGCTTTGGAAGAACTTACCAGTCTACTCAGACATGGCCTCAGTTAAAAGTCTAGGCTAAAAGCGTGTTTAGCCAAGCCTTTAGTAAATAGTTTTCATGTTAAAGGTGCAGACCTGGGGGTTTATGATCATACACTATTATAGGAAACTGAGAATGTTGGTGCTGTCGTCCCGCCGCTCACACTCACTCAGGTTTCTTGACAATGGAGTGGAGGAGCACTGACAGCTCAGGGAGCCATCATGTTTCTGCTACTTTCTGGCTATTCTTTTTTACTTAGGCTCTAACAGATAGGCCTGCCAGAGTCATTGCTTGCACTTCATTAACACTACATATTGTTTTCAGTCACCCCAAACAGAACTGTTTGCATGTTTCTTTGCCAAGCTGAACAACTGCCAATCCTGTCCATTCTGATGATGTCACAATATCTGCCCTGATTGGGATTTCATTGCTGGGAAGAACTGCCCATCCTGTGTGGTCTGATGTCGTTGCTTTATCTGTCTCTGCTTGCCCAACTCTGCACGTCCAATGCGTTGCAGAAAGCCTTACCTGCATGCCCCATTTACCCTTCTGATAATACTGACTCATAACTTATTTAATCATACACATTGTTTCACCTGCCTCACAATACACTGAGCTCTTCACATATTCATACTAACATATCATCATGGCAGGCCTCAAAGAGTAGGCACTGATGTTTACGGACTGACCCCTTCAATGGCCAGGACCCATCAGCTAGTCCAAAGTTTTACTACACACTTCTGAAACCACAGAATACCTCAACCAGTTTGCAATGTCGTGCATGTAGTTATTTTTATGTATCTTATTTTTACTGTGATTACTGTGATATGCTCCTAATAGTAGTTAATGGTAACAGTAACAGGTTTTATAGAGTTATTTC